GTATGTAGGGAATGCTGTTCTGCACATCCTCTCTTCGTTTAATGTTTGCATATGCTGAAGTGACAGCAGTATTGTGTATTTGTGTGCTAGTTTGTAGAAATTTCTTCAATGTTAATAAGAAATTCCTGAGCCTTTTAATAATGAAGTGGGTTTTATTTTTCATTATTTATAAAGCTGATCAATATTACAGCACTAAATGGAGTTTTGCATTTTGGATTTTTTTTAATGCTAGAAAAACATTTGGATGAAATGTCTTCAGTTGCTGGCTTTTATGTAAAAATAGAAATCCTCTTGATTTTATCAGCATCTCTTTTGACCAGGCCCTATGCTGTTTGAATTGAAGTTTTTTGTTAACTGACTTAGTAGAACTTTGAATTCATGCTTTGCAACCTTTGCATGCATAAAGCCCTATGATCATTCACTTTAAATTTATCATTGATATGTCTTGCTTTTTTTTCCCCTGCAGTTGAAGATACCCAGTTTGTTCTGTGATGTAGAAATTGTTCCTGCCCTCCTGCATGGAGATCTTTGGGGAGGAAACGTAGCAGAGGATGATTCTGGTCCAATTATCTTCGATCCAGCTTCTTTCTATGGCCATTCAGAGTATGAGCTTGCAATAGCAGGGATGTTTGGTGGCTTCACTAGCTCTTTTTACTCTGCTTATCACAGTAAAATTCCCAAAGCTCCAGGGTTTGAGAAGCGCCTGAAGCTTTATCAGCTTTTTCACTACATGAACCATTGGAACCATTTTGGTACAGGGTACAGAGGGTCTTCTCTAAACATTATGAGAAATCTGGTCAAGTGACTTTCTGCTCAAGCCAGATGCTTCCTGTGTTGCTTGGCAAACCACATACTTGGTGTTGCAACTGCAGGAATGGTAATGTTAATATAGTTGCTAGACCCTTGACCCTCTTTTCACAACAAAAGACGCAGAATCAGTGATTCCTGCTGAATACCAGGTATAGCATATTCAATCCTTTTTAACATAGTTGGAGAGGGAACTATCTAAGGAAGGAGCTTACTCTGTTGCATAAAAGGCCCATCAGTGTCAAGAAGGCATTGTAGGCTTGAGACTAGACAAGTTAATAGAATCAAGCACTAAAGCATAAATGATTTGGAACAGGTTCTGTTAGGGACCAGTTGTTCTTCAGAGGAGAGAAATGCTGGAGTTTGCATTTGCACCCTAGTGGAAAACATTAGAGAAGCTGTTGTGAAATGGAAGATTGCTTTTATCAGTTACTGAGCAGATGGCTAAAAGAGTAGTTAGTTCATCATTTTTTGCTGTTCCTCCTGTCTCTTCCATGATTGATTGCTCAGATTCTATAAGCTCTTCATTTCCAGTTATGTGCATGGGAACAATGAAGTATTTTGAAAGTCAACAAGACAACTGCATAATTGGAACTGTAAAAAGTGATTTGGACCTGCTAATCATTTTGTTAATGTGATTCTGTTGGATGGAGACTGCTTCCTATTCTGTTGCAAAGCAGTGTGAAATTGCTTAGAAATTTTTCTGGCGTATGTATTTTGGTGTCTCATGACATTTTTTCAGGCTCTTCTGTGTTTTCTGCTCAGCTAGTTCCCACTCTAGAACAATTTTGTTTTTACCTGAACTACCTCTGTTTTCTTTTCTGGATGATGCTTTTGTCCCATAGCATGCAATCTTAAAGCAGATCTTTTCAGGTAAGACAGTCTTCTTTTATACACCATGTGAAGATGTCCTCTCTCACTAATAAAAAGATGCACTTTTTAATTGCTGTCGTTGCCGACAGGACAATGCCATCTGAGCATGGTATGGTCTTCACATAAATTTTCTGTAATCTAGACTACAGATGCTGTAAGATAATTTACTGTTTTTCATTCCCCACTAAGTGCACTTTCTAGCTCTTAGGATAAGAGACATGAAACCAAAAGGAGTTAAAATGTAACTCACAGAACAGCAGCTCTCCACCATTACCAGAAATTCTGTAATTCTGTAACAATAGCTTTGCAGACTAGCTATTTATTGTACTTGCAAAATAATACTAAAATTCTAACTTTTGTTTTTGATATAGGCTGGTAATGATACTGCAGTGCAGCCGTGCCAGCTAGGTGAGAGAAATGCATGATGCCTAACGTGAATTTTGAATGTTTGAGAATGACTTAATTAAAAATGATTTTTACAGGATATACTGACAGATTTGAGGGTTTTCTAGTTGCTGTTGTTTGTAAGAATATGAAGCAATTGTAGAGAAGACAATCACTTGATACAACTTTTCCTTAGTTCTATCCCTTTTCTCACTGGCTGTTTAACTTTTGCTTTGAAGAGTTTTAAAGCTCTGCTCAGTAGAATCACTTTTATCTTGTGGCTTAAATAAAAAGTTTCTCCATTGATCATTGTTGTCTCTGTTTTCTGAATTAAAACTTCATGGCTTGCTTTCATTCTTGGGGAGCTACTTGTTCTGGCCTGTTAAAAGTCCCTAGCCTGTTAGACAGTTATGGTCAAAGCGGCTGATAGGACCACAGTCATAGATTTTGATCAGAAGCAGTGTGTCATTGGAGAGAACATACAGCATGCAGATAGGATTGAATGATACTGTGACTTCAAACTTTGTGTGTTTTTGCCAACTATGGGTGCTGTTGTTGAAATGTTCTGTCTGTGTCCATATCCTTACACCTTTCACACAAATTTAGCACAGCTTAGTGAAACTAGCTGAGGAAATGTACTCAGCAGTCCCTCTGGTTAGATCCCTTAACAGATCATTTCCATGTCTTCATAGGTTGGATATTAGGAAAAAAATTCTTATCAGAAGTAGTGGTCAGGCATTGGAACAGGTTGCCCAGGGGAGTAGTGGAGTCACTGTCCCTGGGGGTGTTTAAGGAAAGGGTAGATGTGGTACTTAGGGGCATGGTTTTAGGGATAGTAGGCTAATCTTTTTTTTTTTTAATCTGTTTTGTGCAACAACTAAAAATGATAGGTGTGTGAGGAGGAATGCAAATGGGACGTAATAGCAAGTTATACTGTGGATGCCTTAGTTTTGAGTTCTAATACGCAGCAGTTTAATTAGAAGATGAAGAAGAGGATGAGATCTTTTCTTCTGAAAGCAGGCTGCTAGTGAACCCTAAAGAAGAAACCGCTGCAGTTCTATAAGGTAACTTTTTAAAATTATGTATTGTATAGCTCTTTTCCATTCTTACAATTCTCTTTGGTTATTTTGTTGTTCTTTGTGTTCCAGGCATGCCTTTGTTAATTATCGTATTCTCTCTAGTTTAAAGCAGGCTGTAGCCTGCTTTTCCTTCTAATCTATTCCTTCTTCTTGGCTCCCTCCACACATTCTGAATGTGGCAAGCCATGTTTCCTTTTACCCATATTCTCATTTCATATTTCCTAGTTCTGTGTCATAATTTTGCTCCCTTTCCATTCTTATTTGGGCAAGGAAAAAGGATAAAAGAACCACTCATTTTTTATTTTTTTTAGCATGCAGTGTATGTATACTTATGTATTGTAGAAACATCTTGAGAGTGTATTATAACTTAAGTCTCTTCACGAGATGGATCACGTCTGGTAGTTAAGGCACACCAGAATCACAATTATTTTTTATTATTATTGTTATTTAAAAAAATTATTATTTTCAACGCACTCTTCAATGAAATCTCAAAGAATTCACTGGAATTTCCCAAGGGATGGGTAATATTGTATACTGAGCTACAGCCTGTGCAATTGTATTGAAAATCACATCTACAGGATTAAAGGAGCTCTGAATAATTTGTCCTTTGATAGTTCTTCACTGAGCAACTGTAACTTCTATCAAAAGAAGAGAGGTTTTTATGATGGGAAGTCTTTCCTAGTTCTTGGCTTACACAGTCCTGTATAGCTGCTTTGTTTTCCTGTGATTCTTTACATGCTCTTCTCCCAGTGGAGAAGTACATAATCTTTTCCTTGGCATGCATGGGAATATCTGTCTTCTGTACAACCTGAGGTATATCAGAAAACAGATGTTAGAAGGAGAACAAAACAAGAAGAGTAGGGCAAGTAAACAATTACAAACCCCACTACAGCATGATCCTGAGGAGAGCTCTCAAGCCTAGAGCCCAGCAGCACCCAGGCACTGAGTCCTCTGCAGCCCCTCACCGGGTCCCTGCTCCCTTGTGATGCGGTTGATGCAGTCGGTGTCTTCCTGCAGGCCCTGGCCGTGGTGCTGAATGGGCTGTGCAGCCAGGGTTCGTGGAGGTCTGCTGGGTGTTTTCAGACTGGTCCCTCTAGCCCATCTGGAACACTTCTGAACTGTTATACTTCATGTTTGAAATGATGTTCGAAGCTGCTTGACTGGGAACTCTTCTTGACAAGATTTTTTTTGCCATGAGGCTGGTGAGGCACTGGAACAGGTTTCCCAGAGAGGCTGAGGATGTCCCATCCCTGGCAGTGCCCAAGGCCAGGGTGGATGCGGCTCTGAGCAACCTGGGCTGGTGGGAGGTGTCCCTACCCATGGCAGGGGGGTGGAATTGGATTCTATTAAACAGCATTAACAGGAATGTTAGGAAACTAGGCAATTCACCTAGTTAAATATTGATCCAGAATGGAAGCAAACAGAAATCTGGCCTATCTCTTGGCTAGTCTCTGTATGTGATGCAATATATTTGTATTAAACGAGTCCTCTTCCTGGTTTAAACAAAAGTAGAACGTCAGAATGGTCAGAGAGGTGTTAGAGACACCTATTGACATCTTCACTGGAAATTGTAGAAAAGATCTGTAGTGGACTGGACTGCAAAAATTTGGGCTTCAGTAGTAACATTGTGGATGAACACTCACTGTCCTTGTTCTCCCCTTCCCCCCTTCTTAACATGTAAATTGGAGAATGTGAAGGAAAAAAAAAAGTTATTTGCTCCTTGTCTATTTTGTTGCCCAAGTACTTCACTCCTTTCCCCAGGTGCTCAGTTGCTACCTACAGCATGATTCCTTCTTTTCAGCAGTTGGAGACCATTGGCCTAAAGGTAGGGCACTCTTTAGGGCATCGTATATCCTGAAATCCAAATTACTTTGCATTTTCACTATCTAGTCATATGATCTAACTGCCTCAAACTGCTCAAGATCATGACCATAATCAAGTTGCTTTGGGTGTCAGTGCACATGTTTACTGTGATTTAACTTTGTCTCTACCTCACCCCAACATCACTTTCTGTATCTCTTTTGTTGGTAATCTATTTGACAGCTAGTATGTGAGTGATGTGAATGGTATAAAATATTACAGCTGGACTTCATAGAAGGATTGCTAGAAGAGTCAATACTTATTTTAAACATATGATGGAAAGGTACAGCTAAGGTAACCTGGAACGTGGCTTCTCACCACTTTTGAGTACTTTTCTGCATACTCAATTGATGTTTCTGACTCCAGTCATGAGCTGCATTTTTCCAGCTTGTGCTCTTAATCTATAAACAGCGTTCTGCTCACATAAATGTGGATGGTAGAAAAGTTTCTTTGTAGTCAGTCCGTAACTTTGAGGACCTAAACACCTTCCAGTGCTCAGTACATGCCTTCCATGAATCTCCAGTCTGCTCTAGAGCATCTGCATGTCTACCAGGGCTTCCCACTGTTCTTTAGCTCCCCCTGAGAGTCTCACAGTCACCCCTAGTGTCCTCTAGGATGCTCTAGAGGCCTCTCAGTGCAGCCCTGAGGCCTCCCATGGCCCTCCAGTGCAATCTAGTGTCCCCTGGATGCCTCCCAGTGCACTCTATGACTTGCACATGCCTCACAGCACCCCCCAGCCTGATAGTTTAGGATACTCGAGGCCTTCCACGGACCCCCAGTGCACTCTAGAGAGCACTAGAGGCCTCCCAGTGTGCCCCAGAGGCTCTCAGGACCTTCCAGTGTAAGCTAGTACCCCTAGGAAAATTCACAGGGTTTTCCAGTGAGCTCTAGCACTCCCTAGAAACTTCCCGGAGTACTCTAGAGACCTTCAAGGGACCCCAGTACCCTTTAGTATCCCCTGTAGGCATCCCATGGCCTCCTAGCGCGTGCTAGAGTCTTCCAGGGCCTCCCTCTGTGGTCTGGCACACCCTGAAAGCCTCCCAGTTCCCCCAGGTGTGCTCTAACATCCATTGGAGACCTTTCAGAGCTGTCCATTGTACTCCAGGTTTTACTAGGGACCTCCCAGGGCCCCCTGAGAGCTGCTCTGTGTACCACAATGAGCTATGCTCTAGTTTTGCTTGAGAAATAATTTACTATACCCATCTTCTGCTCTAGGTAGGGTTATAACCATTTGTGAGTGTAGTGAGAAGCCCACCTAAATGAAACCAGTGTTTGTCCAGTAATCATTCCTTCTTTGTCTGACCCAAGTAGCTTATACAAACAAATTCAAACAAGTAGTAGCGGAAAGAGAGAAATGCAGTAAGTCAGTGGTAACGATAGAACAAGTCCCTGCAGGGATGGTAGGCATACGTGCTTCAAGTAGGAACAAGAACTGCCAGACTGTGACATGCTAAGATTCACTCATAGCTGCGTAGCCATGGGCATTATCTTATCCATGAATTATTTAAAAAAATACTGTAGGGTTTGGGTTACGAGATGTTGTACTGAGGGTGTCTGTGCCCTTTGTCAGTGTTAAATGATTAACTCAAGCACAACCAAGGCATCTTTCTGGGTATTACAGAATATGAAGTGAGACTAAAAGGAGAAATTACTTCTTAAAAATGACATGAAATCAGAAGAAGCACATAGGAAAAGTAACTGTCCCAAATTAATTTACCAGTTTGAATTTTACTATGAATTTTCACTTGATAATGTCCAGAAATGATCACCTTAGTATCTCACTGATTTGAGGAAACTTTCAGAAAGTAAAAAGCTCTTGTTTCTTGCCAGAGTGCATTGTGTCCTGAGACAGAAGCGTTCTAAACATCTTAGTGATAACAACAGAACTTTTTTCTATGCCATGCAACTACAAGCAGAGAAAAAATAAAATACTAAAATACTCTCCCTATATTTGTGTTGGCTGCCTTACAGTCATCAGCATGTTCTAATTGCATCCTGACGGACTGCAACTTTGTTTTTCATACCTTAAAGAACCGCAATAGCGCAACAAATGTGCAGGGTTTGTATTGTTGCATTTGGTCTCCCTCTAGTGGATTGGTTGCAAAATTACCTCTTTGCCAAAGCAAACGCAGAGCTTAAAAAAGAAAAACGGCTTCAAACTACAAATACCAGCAGCTCTCAGCACAGTTGAGAAAGGACCCAGGACACGCCTCTCAGTCTTATTCTCACAAATATTTGTTTATTGTCTAGCTGTAAAAGCCAATGTGAAACTAAGCATTTTGAAACATTATCTCTGGATTTACTTGGGAGGTGCTATTTTGTTATTATTATTTATTTGGTGGGTGGCCCTTTCTACCTCACAGCAGAGTGACAGAGAGAGAAGGACCCAGACCTTTAATCTTGTTTTGCAGTGCAGTTAGCAGAAGGCAGCTGCAGCAGCCTGGAAATTACCATGGAAGAGATCCTGAGAAGAGAATTGAAAACTTCAGTTCTGAAAGCCTTTGGGAGCTCGGGAGGAGGATACATTAGCCAAGGCCAAGCTTATGAAACAGACAGTGGAAGAGTATTTGTTAAAATCAACCATAAGCCTCAGGTTAATGCTAGCAGATACTTAACTGTTAATATTATTGCATGTCGAGAGTTTTTTCTTTTCAATGTGGATGATTGTTGATGATTTTGAGTTCTGTGTTTTCTGGCTTACTTGTAATTATTTCAGCTTTTCTTTCAGTTTTCTTTTAAAAGCTGTAGTTTATTTTACATCAAATATCAACCTGGTGGGTTTGGTTAATGCAAAATTAGGTGTAACGCTATATGATAACCCTCAAAAACAGGACTTAGCCTTGCTATATGTAAACAAGGGGCTGAAAACAGAGCTGTTATTGTACTACTTGGTCTGGAAAAGCCTAAAGCTGAATTTGCATTCACTGCTTTCCTCTTCATCTTTCATTTGTGAGAAGAGAATAGTGGTAGTGAGGGAGGAAACAAAGGGTGCCAGTGCTAAAACTCTGTGTTTTTGTTTTGTTTTGTTTTGTTTATTTATTTTAAGCTAGAGGTTTCAAACTTCCTCCTTGTCTTTTGGGTTTCTAGCAGTAAGATTCTTGCAACTTTTCAGGCCAAGCTCTTGGCTTTTCTATTACTAAATGAATACATCACTCAATTGTCTCTTGCACACAGGAGATCAAAATTTTGCTTTATTAAAAAAATGAAACTGCTGTGAAGAACAGAATTTTCACTTCAGAAATGCTGAGTACAGGCTTAGTTTCTGTACTTTTACCTCTGTCTGCTGGCCATTGACCTGCATGGAGAGGAGAACCATCTTAAGGATTCAGACTTTTCCTTCATTTAGTAGTGGTCACATGTAATTTTGAAGGAGGAGGTCTTGGTTTTTATCCTTAGAGATCTTCTAACACCTGAGTAATTGAACTCCATAAGCAACTAGGAGTTCCAGGTGAAATATTACATATCCCACTACCCTGGAGCAAGTTTGGGAAATATAAAAATAATATTTGAATTAAGGTACTTGAGTCTCCCCAACAAATGAAAGCTACATTCGTTTAACAAAACTAATTAAGTCTTTTTAAACAGTGCTGTTTTTTTCCAAATTACTTGTTCCAGATGTCTGTAGTTTAGCCTTGGGGTATTCTTATTCCTTAACAGGCTAGAAAAATGTTTGAAGGGGAAATGGCAAGTTTGGAATCAATTCAGAAAACCAATATTGTGAGAGTGCCTCAGCCTATTAAAGTAATTGACCTTCCCGGAGGAGGAGCAATGTTTGTCATGGAGTACCTAAAGATGAAGCATCTCAACAAGTATGTTTTTACATCTTGTTCTCTTTACTGTGTCTTTGGGATATTTTTCTTACACTTGGTCAGAAATCTTCCCAAGAAGGACCTCATTATTCTCAGAGATACAGCATGTTATCTGTTAAGATCCATATTTCTGTGCACATATACATATTTTATATCTCTGTATATATATAATTATATATACATATATTTTATATACACATATACATAAAAATATATATATATTTATGTGTGTGTACTCCTGCCCAATGCTTTGCTCTTCCCTGGCTCTCTGCCTGGAGCAGAAATGGCACACTTTGCCACTCTAGCAGCATGTATGCTGCCTGGTTGACCAGTTTATCTGCATGTGCTGCAGTGCTATTGAGGTGAATGTGAGAATGGCTGAGTATAGTCCTTCTTTCCCCGGTGAGGTAGAAAATGTATTAATTCCACTTTATTAGTCACCCACCCTGAACATAGAATTAGGCTTTCAAGAATCTTACCCTTGTTCCACTGCTCTAAGGGAACATAATAATACCTACGTCTCGTCTGGCAATTGTTTATCAAAACAACCTGTTTTTACTGGAAGGACAACAGTAATTCCACAGCCTCCTCAGTCCATTCCAATCCATCCCACTTATTCCTAGAAAAAAAATTCTAATGGCTAACCTCAGTTGTCCTTGCTGAAATTTTAAACCCGTTATGTCTTTTCTACACGTTCTGGGCATGGAGAAGCAATTTGTTTCCTTTCATGCAGCTCCTGTTTAACTACCTGTGCAGTATTTTAACCGCTTTTTGTTCATTTTTTCTTCTACAGTAAGCAACCTCAATTCAATCCTTGCTTGTGACTTTTTTTTTTTTAATTTGCCATCCTTATTGCTGTCTAAATGATCTGTGTAAGACCCCAGAGTAGATACCGTGTTCTGTTCTCTTCTTTTTTTATGTGGAACTGACAAGGCGGATTACTTGATGGCTTGCACTCTATGCTCTTCTTTATGCAGCCTTGTGTTTTGTTTACTTTTTATTGCAAGAACATTGATTTATATTCATTTTTATTATGTTATATAATCAGAGTCACCGTCAAGCCATTTGCTCCCTATTATGTACTTGTGAAGTTGATTATTTCTGGCAAATTTAGAACTTTCAACCATACTATGCTAGTATTGGTCATTCTGAATTGAACTTTTTTCAGTTTTGTTTTGTTCTTTGTTTCTATAGATACTCTTCAAAGCTTGGAAAGCAGATAGCAGAGCTTCATCTTTATAACCAGTCACTCAGAGACAAATTGAGAAAGGAGGGAAACACAGTTGGTAGAGTATAAATATAATGTACTAAAACAAAAAATGAAACAATTAATTTGCCTGTGGTATAATATTGCTTTATTATAATTTGGTTCCAGTCAATAATGGGGCACTGTTTCATGAGAGATACTTCCTGTCCCTATCCCACACTTCTCAAATGTGGAGATCATATACAGGAGTCATTATTGCAAATTTTAAATATGAAGTACTTTTATCCTTCACAAAACTAAATTAACTTATCTTTAATTATTCATTTTGCATGTTTTGTGTGTAAAATTATGCTGCTACTGAAATTTAGTATGAAATATTTGATAGCTTTCAACATGTCTTATGTCAAACTGAAGATTTAGACTAATGTCTTTCTCTGCATTAGTTAAACCTTTTAGCTTCATGTACAATCACTGTTAAAATTTTCTTGACCTTACAGACTTTTCTTTCACTGTTGGTTCAGACAATTAACTTTTAAAAATATGGTCATAGTTATTAATTTCTATTTAAAGATGTTTAAAGGGGATTATATTTTTGAACTCAAATATGCAAACTGAAATATGAACTCAAACATATAATTGCTGCTCCTTGACGACAACTATAATTCAGCAGTGTAGGGTCATGATCCAGTTTCTATTGACTTCCATGAAATGATTTTCATCATTTTTTGAAAATTGGAATAGGATACAAATGGAAAAAAAAAAAAAAAGGAAACCATACAAAGAATTCTTATTTTACAAAATAATAATGATTTTGTAAAATTCTTATTTTACAAAATCTCAAGATTTTTCCTTGTGTTTATTATGTTTCTTAGGTAAAGGAGCCAGTCACTCTGAGTTTCAGTATGTGGATAAGTTTGGATTCCATGTAGCCACTTGCTGTGGTTACATACCACAGGTATGTTCCACGTCTGTGAAAGCTAATGTATTCTTAGAGTTCTGTTAATTCCTTATACAAAGGTTTGGTTCGTTGGCCTGCAGCTTTATGATAACAGTTCTTTCACAGTTTCATTTTGATCTGATGGTGAGACAAATATGATGGATCTTCAATGTGTGCAGCTTGCTACCATGCACGTAGCAAGTAGATAGAACGAATTGGATAAGAATTTGAAATTATTTGGTAGTTCTTTAACATGGTGATACTTAACAACATAAGTATCCCTTTACAAACCATGTCTTTGTTTTGGGTTTTCTAAACTCGTACTATATGGATTTCAATTGGTTACATCCACTGTTTTTAGAGGACTTCATCACATAAGACATCGGAACTGTCTCTGAGATACATCAGTTATGTGCTGGCTCTGCACATGATAGAGTTTCATTCTGCTGCTTAACTGAGTGAATGTTCTGTATTTCATACACTTTGTGAAGTATAGCTTTTTCCCAAATTAGAAACACATTACCCAATAATAATTAAATAATCCTTTTGCATTTCCAGAAAGAATTTGGAATATAATATGGAACAACTGAAATGGGCTCATCAGAAACTGTACCTCTAAAGCACATTACGAAAATTTAAGTGAATGAAAATTGACAGAACCTCAACTTCTATCTCGTGTTAAAGACAGCCCCACTAGGCATGGAATAGAGCGTGACTTCAAACTCAGCAATTGACTAAATGTTTAACAGCATTCTAATTAGCATGTCTAATAGTAACATTGTCTAGGCCAATGTGTCAGCATCAAGCATCTTAACTTGATATGGATTATTAATATTGACTGTGCATATGTTAACATTGTTTATTATAAACCTCTGCATCATATTTTCTAGGTGAATGAATGGCAGAGTGATTGGCCTTCTTTCTTTATTCGTCACAGACTCCAGGCACAATTGGATTTGATTGAAAAAGATTATGGAGACAGAGAAGCAAGAGAGCTTTGGTCACAGCTAAAAGTATGAACCATGTCTTAAAGATTTTTTTAGAAAGTTAGAAATTATGTACAAGTGGTATTTTGAATGTGTTTTATAGCAGATTTACATAGTTTTTATTAAACAGCTGTAACTAGATTAGTTTCATGGCTGGGCTACCAACGCAGCTGAAAAGAATTAATGTTGCTCTTCCATTTTTTAATAGATAGTGAAAATAAACCTGCAAGTCAGCACTGACTAATTTCTTTGAATACCTCAAATAAGAATATGTTAAATCCTGTCTAAGAACTTGGTGTTGCAAACTGGGTAAGATTCTGCTGCCTAGGCAGATTTTTTTAATTGGTCCAGGTTCACAGCTGAGATTGGTCCTGGTCATACTCTATGCAGTGAGTGAGAAACAACCAGGAAGGTATTCCTCTGCAAGCTGCACAGCACAAACGTGTTCCCAGATGTTTCTTGCTTCCCCTTTTGTCACTGACTCCATTTATTTTATGTCTTATGATGTCCCATACTGTTCATGTCTAGAAACAATACATTAATTCCAGATGTTGATAGAGCATGAATTAAAATGAATTGCTAAGCTGTCTAACACTTATTACTGGCTTGCAGTTTAGATTTATGCATGTAGCCATCAACTTCAAAATTACTCCATGAAGACTGAAAACAGGTAGCATTTGAGCAGCTTAGTCTCATATACACTACGCTAATTTGTTTATTTAATATTTTGTTTAAAGCTCTTTAATTGTTGAATGTTTGTTCTTGCTCTTTCAGATAAAGATTCCTGAAATGTTCCATGATGTAGAAATTGTTCCTGCCCTCCTGCATGGGGACATGTGGGCAGGAAATGTGGCTGAGGATGACTCTGGGCCAATTATCTTTGACCCTGCTTCCTTTTATGGCCATTCAGAGTTTGAACTGGCCATTGCTGGAATGTTTGGTGGCTTTAGCAGCTCATTTTTCTCTGCCTATCACAGTGTAATACCCAAAGCTCCAGGATTTGAGAAACGAAATAAATTGTATCAGCTCTTTAATTACATAAACCACTGGAACCATTTTGGGACAGGATACAGGGGGTCTACCCTAAATCTAATGAGAAAACTTCTAAAATAATCAGATTGGTGTGAGAAATGCTGACCCAGTCTCTTAAGTGATTAGCAACCTACGCTTATCAGAAGTAATACAGGGTAGAAATCAATGTTGATGCTAAAACACCTGACATATAAAAGGCTCAGAATAATTTTGAGCCTCACTAAATGTTGAGAGTGATTGTGTAATTTTTGACTCATACACTGGCTTACTAGCACTGATTCATATCCTGATGAAGGAATGTTTTTGAGCATTGTTTATGAAGTTTCCACTAGGTTGGAAAAGAAGCATGACAGTCGGCCGAACCTTACTCTTCATACAGAGTCTCACATCTTAGCTGCTGCATATCCACAGTTGTTTGCATCTTGCTGCTTCTGCAGCAGTTCATTATTGAGAGTTACTGCAGTAGGAATGTGGTACTGGAAGTAATCACTGGTTTCCTACCTCTCCCCATTTTTAATCTGTTTTAGTTTTTCCTTCCATCTGTTTGCACCCCTTTTCCCATTTATGTTTGTTTTTGTTCCTTTCCCATGTAAGAGCTATGATCCAAAATTTAAATCAGATTCTATGAATCTTAAAATGAAAACATTCTCTTTTTGATTTAAAGGTAAACAGGGTCCTTTGGACTGCTTTTGGCAAACACATATAATAGCATTTCTAATATTTATTTTAATTTAATGTAATTTAATTGTACCCTTTTGTTTTTCTTGCCATATGAGAAGTTCAGTCACAGTGGTATTTCTTAAAAGGGATGTCTCTGGAATTCCTTGGTAATTAACTGTACAGTCAGAAAGTGGATTGTCACCACACAAGTTTGACAATATCATATCATTTTAATATGATATGTCAATGTGTTGTACTATGATAGTAACACTTAAATAACTGTAAAAACAGCAAAGAGTAGGAGAGAGGTTTACTTCTTTTCATGATGAGAAAGTATCTATTTTGCTGCTGTGTCGGTTGGTGTTTTCCATATTTCAATTTTAGAAATTAATGTACAGTAGGTAAGGCAAGTCTGTTCTGCCACTGCAGTTTTCTTGTATGCTGTCAAATTGGATGGACTTATACTGGTTTTTAGTATTCCTGTTTTATTTTTTTAGAAAACACAGGCAATGAGGATGTGGGGAGAAAACTGGGCAACAAAACACTGGCATACAATTTGAGCTAGAGTATATTAACCAAGTCACGTGTTTTTAATGGAAGAAAGTGATAAAGAAAGTAAGTGTAAGTACAGTCCAGCATATACTTATATGAATCAGGATATGTGAACGAGAATCAAAGAACCTATGTATTTAGGATTCAGAGGGCTGTAATTACTAATACCTAAAATGTTATATTCAGAAATGCTCAAATATTTAGACTTTCTATCAGCTTTAAATGGCTGTGCTATAAAGAGTTCTTAAAATTATATTTTGTAATTTGCATTATTGAAAAATCATTTAGTTCTCTGTAATGTAATACAAATAGTTTAATTTTTTTACTTCCTTTGAATTTGGGCTACAATGAATGGGGTTATAACACTTGATACAATTATAGCAGTGGAGAAATGGAATAATAGAGTGAGAATACAGTTGAAATTGTAGCTGACAGCTAGATTCAGGTCCCACTAAACAGCAAAATGCATGAATACTAGTATTAATTTTTGCAAAAATGCAGATATTGTGTTGCGAAGTACATATGAACTTAAGAATTTTAATTGTCCAATAAAATAATTGCACTGCAGAAACTAGCTATTATGTCTCTCTGCCTTTTGTGGTTGTGATGATGAATTTGAGCCTGAAGATGGATATTTGAGTATGAATGGAGGTGCTAGATACTGGTCAAGAAGTCACTTGGCCTTATATCCAGACCAGATTTAAATGTTTCTCTGATTTTCCTTTTGTAATCAAAGGAGAGGAAGGACCACCTCTGAGGGTGACTCATCTCCCCCCAGACAGTGGTGAGGTCTGATCCTTGGGAGTGCTTTTTCTACCACGTGAAAAGATAATCTGAGGTGATTTGCTCAATGTCTTACTTTAGACTCTGGCTTCAGTTTTTTAGAGCTGGCAACGTGCCAAGAGAGAAGTGGAAATGTAGTGCTGCTATCTCGTAAAATATTCAGTGGCAGAGGAAGATGTGTGGTAAAAGATGAGGGGATGGAAACGTGGTACGTCTAGGGGTGGAGTATGGCCAAGCATCTTCCTCAGGGACCTTGCAGGAAGAATCTGACCCAAGAACTAGTAAGTGCTGTAAGGGGGCAGCCATTTCTTTTCCTTCCCCATTCTTCTGTAGCTTTCACCATTCCACCTTTGTTTCCAGAATTTTCTGTGATTTAGTTTTGACTTGACAATTACCCTGCCTGCCCCCCAAGATTGTACAACTGTTAAGAAACAGAGGTGATGAGGGGTAACAGAGAACTGAGTGCCTTTCATCTGCCCTTTTTCAACCTGTGAAAAATGCCCTGAGGCAAATCCCCCTCAGTTTTTAGGGCCACCAGAAAGCTTTGGTGGTGGCACCGTGGTGCTGAGCCTCTTGAATTATAGAATCCTAGGATCATAAGGGTTGTAAAAGCCCTCCAAGATCATCTGGTATAACCACCCTTCTGCCACCAATGTTACCCACTGAGCCATGTCCCCAAGCACCACGTCCAACCTTTCCTTGAACACCCCCAGGGACGGTGACTCCACCATCTCCCTGAACAACCCCTTCCAACGCCTGCCCTCTCTTCCTGATCAGAAATGCCTCATAGTTTCCAAGCACCACGGCCACACACCCCGCTTTGCCTGTCAGCGCCATCCCCCTTACCTCCCTCCCCCCCCGCGTCGGGGCCGGGCCTCCCCTCAGCTGCCCGCCCTTCTCCAGGGGCGGGGCTGCGGAGCCGTCCCTGTGCCTTTCGGCCCGCGCGGCACCCCGTAGGAGGCAGCCTGCGGCCGGCGGCGCGCGGGGAGCGGAGCGGGGAGCGCGGCGGTTGCTAGGGTAACGGGGCGGGGAGGGGGGCCCGGGGCCGCCAGCGGGCTGTGAGGGGCGGCGGGGCCGGGCCCGGCCTCGGCCGTGAGGGGCGGTGGCGGCGCCTGAGGGGAGCGGGGAGCGGAGCGGTTGGGGCGGCTTCAGGCCGGGGCAGGCGTAACGCGGCCGCTGCCCCCTCAGGTGCCGCCGCCATGGCTCTGGGCGAGGCGGACGCGTTGGGCCCCGAGGCGGAGGAGAGCAGGGCCCAGGAGCTGGATGTGATCGCCCGCGGGAGCGCCCTGGAGAGCTTCACGGAGAGCCAGGAGGTGCGGGGGCTCGTCGGGGGCCTGGCGGCCGTGTGCGGGGACCGGGCGGCTCGGGAAACGGCCGTGGAGAAGTTCATAGGTGAGCACGGCGACCGGGGGCTGCGCGCTGTCGTGGCCTTTGAAGGAGGGGTCTTACCAAAAAAAAAAGGACTAAAACGTTGATTTTGGTGTAATTATAATACTGGAACTTCTTTCAACAGGTACCTTGGGTTCATTTTTACCTCATGGTTTTCCAGATGCATGCATGTCCTGCTCGCACACACCAGTTAGAAGCTGAGCCTTGTATTTAAGAGATCTCAGGAGCCCTGTGTAGCCTTCTGCCTCCTGTTCAAATGCAGAAAATAATTTAGCAAAAGATGATGGTCAAAAAATTAGCCAAATCTAATGGTCAAGATACTGTTTTATTGTCTGTTTTTGACAAAATAAAACTAGGTAGGCACGCAATAAACCTAAGAACCATAAATTTGGAAATCTGATCCTGCAGAAATTACCCTATTAAATGAACTGACAGTGATCTGTCCAAGGAGGCTAACAGTGAACATCTAACTGATCAGAGAGAAGTAGCAGGAATGTATTTGTGTTGATTGTTCAGTATCACAGGTGAGATGGCAGAATTTGATGGCATAGGAAAACACATACTGAAAAGCCTTAGCTGCTGAAAAGCCATCTCTCCTGCAGCTGATCATCCTGCTGTGCCTCTTTCACATTGTATGCACTGCCTTGGTTTATTTAGACTGTGTTTATGGTCCTCCTGCACGCATTTCCACTCTATCACATAAAATTTTAGGAGAAAAATGGTATTGCTACCTACTGAAACACTGACTTTTGCACTTGGGAACGTGTCATTTGAAGGTAGGGGGATGTAGCTGTATAACAGGTATCAGTATCAGAAGTATCACTGTTCACTAAATACAGGGTTAACATGTACTTTAATGTTAACAGTACTGATATGCACCGTACATGTTGCTCAAAACTTGTTTCCAACATTTTGTGTCGTAGGGAATCGTTTGACCTTTAATAGGCAAAAAATGTCCCAAATATGGTAACAGACTAAATGAGTGGGTTATAAAATTGGAGGTAAGGAAACATCTTAATCTATGCGCAGATAATGCAGTAATAATCAGTTACTGAACATTTTAATGCAGGTCTCTGAAACACTTACAAGAGCATGTGATGTTTTTTTATGAACTGTTAATAGCAGAAGTCTGGATTAGGTAGTTCAATCTGCAATAAGTTTTGCAGGAAAACATAGGAAGATCTTTCCTTGAAATAATAGCACTAGAATCACATTTTTGTGGTTCATCCTTTTCACTGTTTTGATCTGGTGGTTTATTTTAGATTACCAGACTCTGATCTGGGAAAACAATTTGACAGGATAATGAATTGTAGTTAAATTCCACTTCTGCTTTTGAGCGTTGATGGAATTTCTTGTACTCTCTAATTCTGTTATTTGTACACAGCTTAAGATATTGTTAATTACAGCAGGGAAAGTAGCAATAATTAGGAGTGCAGGCTTCCCTCTTGATTTAGACAGCACTATGGAATCCCAACACAACTGTAGAAGTTAGTGTAAGGAGAGTGTTGGACTGGCTGCGTCATGAAAGTGGTTGTGCAGTGTCATCCAGTGGTCAGCGATATACCCTGCTGGCGAAGTTGTGTTTCATCTTCAGAGTTTGATGTGATGAGGAGAAAGGGATAGAGAGAAAAATCGTTAGAGAGGAACAAATACAGGAAAATGAAAGATTAAGAGGATATTTTAGTTTTCTAAGTAAATGCTATTTCCTGAGCAAATATCTAAAATGACCTAGGCAATCACCAGGCAATATTGGATGATTTAATAATCTCTTTCTGAAGCGTAGCTTTCATTTCTGTGGCTGCGTGGCATTGATTCTAGGTATAAATGGAAATGCTTTTATTTGTAAAATCGGTGGCAAGTTGTTCTTAGTATTTACAATATTCAATTTCAATTATTTTTTCTCATGTCTGTTCCCAAAAGGAAGATAACGTATTACTGGCAGCAGGATAAAATAATGTGGAAACTTGAAGAGCATGGGATTTAGGGGTAGTAATAGCTACAGTTTGTGTTTGTCCAGGTAAAATTTTGTCAAGACATTTTTGTTCTTTGCTGTATAATTTCCTTTGTGCTATTTCAAAATAAAAAAGCCTAGTTCTGAGAGCTGTGAAGAACACCTTTCAATGCACAGTACTATTATGTAATTTTCTGCTATGGTCAGGAAGCTCAAAACAGAGAAGAATTTTCTTATGTCCTGTTTCAGTGGTAGAACTATATCCTTAACAATGTTCCAAGCATGGGATGGAAGATAGCCTTGTGATGAAACCCTTTGTGTCCAGGTAGAATTTCCCTATGACTGTATTAGCTTAGGGTTGGAAGAGTATCATACTACTACACTTTGTGATGGTAAGGTATCTTTGTGTGGGTGTTTTAAAAAGAATCAGAAACTTGACATGCTAACAAATAGAATAGTGTGTAGAAGTAAGTGGGATGTAGAATGTTAATGGAGGAGATGTGAACAGCAAGCATAGATGGGTAAAGCAGCATTCAGGTTGCTGACTGGGTTGGAGTGCGGTGTAAGGCTGGTTTGTCTGCAGCAGCTACGGGCTGTTCTGGTTTAATGTCCTCTGTCTGCAGAGTGCCATCAGAAGCTGGTAAGTTGTTGGCAAAGGAGAACCACAAAGAGCTCTGCAGTGAGGGGTAACAGCAGACTGAGTGCTGCTGGCATGTTTGATTTAATGGTGACATTTGTCCACAGTAATTTGAGAGATTCCTGGAAGAGAGTTTTTCATGAATTTTAGGTAAATGATGGCATGAAAGACAGCCTCTAGTTTTACAATAACTGCTGTTGTCTTCTTGCTTCTTGACCTCACTTAAAGGTGTGGCAGTAGTTAGCTCAAGGATACTGAAATTTTAAACTAAAACTGTCTAGAATCAAGGGTGTATCTCACAATTGATGGTTATAAGGGCCTTTCATTTGAGTAGTTGGTCACAGATGCCTTTTCCTTTTCAGTTATAATGGACAAGTACCAGGAGCAGCCTCACTTGTTGGATCGCCACTTAGGTAGGAATATCATCTTGTATATAATACTTTTTCGTGTATATACTTGAAACTCTCTTAAACTAGAAAGTTCATATTTGCATTACATGATTGTTGTGGTTGATAGCAGATATATGACGATCATCTCCCTTTCTATTATTAGAAGTATGAGAAATTGTAAGCTGTTTTGTTCCCACTTTCTTTTCTCTCCTTTCATTAGAATGGATGATGAATTTGTTGCTGGATATAGTACGGGACAGTGCATCTCCTTCCGAGCTATTTCATCTGGCTTTTAAATTTCTTTACATCATTACAAAGGTACAAAAACCCAAAAAATGTAACATTCTATAACTGAAAGTATGCAGGTTTCCAATATTTAAATTGCAGTGTGAAAGATGATTTTTTTTTTTTTTCTCATCATTTTCATGATACCTCATGCTATTCAATGATCCAGAGTAGAAAAAGCAAGGTCAGAATGCAAAAAAAACAAAAAAAACAACAGATATTGAGATACTGAGTGGACAGGCTCAAGAGCTGGGCCTGTGCAAACCTCATAAGGTTCAACAAGGCCTAGCGCAAGGTCCTGCATCTGGGCTGGGGCAATGCCAAGCACAGCTGCAGGCTGGGCAGAGAATGGATCGAGAACAGCCCTGAGGAGAAGGACCTGGGGGTGTTGGTTGATGTGAGCTGGCAATGTGTGCTTGCAGCCCAGAAAGCCAGCTGTGTCCTGGGCTGCAGCAAATGCAGCATGGGCAGCAGGGTGAGGGAGGGTATTGTGCCCCTCTGCTCTCATCAGACCCCACCTGGAGCCCTGTGTTCAGCTCTGGGGTTCCCAGCACAAGAAGGACACAGAAGTATTAAAATTAGTCCAGAGGAGGGCCACAATGATGAGCAAGGGGCTGGAGCACCTCTCCTATGAAGACAGGCTGAGAAAGTTGGGGTTGTTCAGCCTGAAGAAGAGAAGGCTCCGGGGAGACCTCACAGTGGCCTTCCAGGGGGAGTAGATTTAAACTAAAAGAGGAGAGATTTAGATTAGATAAAAGGAGGAAATTCTTTACTTAGAGGGTGATGAGGCCCTGGAACAGGTTGCCCAGAACAGCTGTGCCTGCCCCATCCCTGGAAGTGTTCAAGGCCAGGCTGAATGGGGCTTTGGGCAACCTGGCCTGGTGGGAGGTGTCCATGGTCTCGATAGGGGGTTTGGAATTAGATGAGCTTTAAGGTTCCTTCCACCCCAAATGATTCTATGATATATTAACTCCTCAAAGGGCCTGTTCTTTTTCCTCAATACTTGATGTTGATAGATGGCTTACTAAATTTTGAAACTTCATGTTACAGGTGAGAGGATACAAACTTTTCCTCCGATTGTTTCCTCATGAGGTTGGTGATTTACAGCCTGTTTTGGATATGCTTATGGACCAGAATCCAAAAGACTGCGAGGTGAGAACCTGCTGTACTTCCTGTTTAATTTTTATGTCTCCTAGAGAAGAAGCTGAAGAACAATGTAGAAAATAGTCCTGTAAAAAATAGCATGTAAAGCTGCAATATAACCTGCTCAGTGTTAATTGAACAGCTAGAATTAATGTGAAAGTCACACACTTCATTACATACCCTCCTGATTTAAAGATTTCTTTAGCTGGGAGCAAGAATTTTGATGAAAACACTATTTAAGCAAATAATTTTTAAGCATGGATTGAGATACTGTAGTTCATATTGTTTTATTTTATTGAATGAAGAAAGAAAGGATTCCAAATTTTTTTTTAACATAGATTAATTTTAAGAGAGATCATCATCTATTAAAGGTAACAAAAATCATGGATATGAAGACTAATTCTGCTCAAAATTCAAATAATTTTTAATAAATTTCTTGCAGCAACATTTCTGTTGGTGTTGATATAGTTGTACAGCTTTTATTTTTTAAAGACCAACTGCCATAAAACTAAGGTAATCATTTTTTTGTACAACTTTTCAAAGCTTAAGTATTTTGCAGGTAAAGGACTTGATTTATGAAATATCTATTTTTATTCTGAAACCATACCATAGAAGCTCTTTAGAAGTTGCTTCTTGTCTGTCTCTCAGAACACCTAGATTTTTTTCAATAAGCCCATGAAAGGAATACATAAATTAGGAAGGACATATTTCTCTCTTGGTCCTTTTCTGTTGTTGCACTTTGTCTAAGAACATACATTTTCTTTCTCTCCTTTTCCTTTCTATATGGAGAGTCACTTTCCTTACTAATTTAGAGTGGTTTTTTATTTGTTTGCATTTATTTTTTTTTCTGCTTGACTGGACTGGAGGCACAAATGGGCTGAGGGAAGGAGAAAACAGAAAAATAGGAAAATGCAGTTTTTCTCTGGAAAAGAATGAACTGTCTCTAAACTTCAGATTCAGGGGAAAGGGTCCATTCACTTGACTACAATTTTCCCATTTGAGGTGTCTTGTAGTTCTTTCTCCTTTGGTGTTTCAGAACATTGAGGTTCAAAGTTTTCATCTTCTTAGTGTAGAAGTACCTTAGAGGAGATAGTTTTGTTCTCCAAGCACCTTGTTGGAACACAGTTCAGAAAACAGAGTGTATATTTTGTTTGACTCTTCTTTTCCAGACTTGGGAAACTCGTTACATGCTTTTATTATGGCTCTCCATGATATGCTTGATTCCTTTTGATCTGGCCCGGTTTGATGGAAATACTGTTTCTGAAGAAGGGCATGCTCGCATGCCAACAATGGATCGCATACTTAAAGTAGCAAAAGTAAGTATAATATGTCGTGTAATATCCGCAAACCTATAACACTTTTCTTAGGCTTAATATTTCAATATTAATAATATTAATGTATTCAATATATAGTAAATTCTGATCTTTTCAAAACGTTATTTAATCCTGTGTTTTCTTTGTCTACTCTGTAAAGAATTTCTCCATAGTTGAAGAATCTTTAGTATGTTATTTAATTCCTTAGTGTCTGGTTAGACAGTTTATTACTTCAGGGAAAAAAAAATCATCAAATTTTATGATGATCTGCTATGAGTGTATGCCTTTGACTGTGGTAAGAGCTTTTAGAGTTTAAAGATACTAGCTAGATTTTCTGAAAGTCAACTTTACATATTTATATAGGAATTTAGTGTTTGTCAGGATGAGTAACGAAGCTATGACTGTGGAAAGAGTTCTCAACAAAGATAATGAAATTTCACTTTGTGTAAACTTAAAGTGGCTAACGCGTCATCCCTTTAAGATAAAACATAATCATCCCGCTTCCCACAAATAACCGAACAGCTTATCCTTACCCTTTTGACACTTGCAGCCCTTAAGTGGTTTAACACTTGCAGAAATGTAGTAACACAAATATGACTGTACTTTAAGGTTACAGTAAAGGTAAACTTGCTTTGAAAGACATTAAATGTGTGAGTTTGTCTCAGATACGTTTTGTTAAATGGATTATATGTTTTTTACTATCTTAAACTCAGTATAATGTAATTGTAAATATTAATGTACTCACGTACAAAGTTGTTACGTAGTTGTATTATTAAGTCTACGTGTTTGAATTCTTTTACAGTTAGTTCTGTTTTACTTCTAGTGTTACTTGGTTGTCAGTGATAAGGCTCGAGATGCAGCTGCTGTACTGGTTTCAAAGTAAGTCTCTTTTTTGCTTTTTAACAGAAAGGAAAAAGCTAGCTCCCTTTTCCCCTGTCATTTTTTAGCCTGATGTATTACTAACGACAGTGTTGGGAGCACTGGAAGTTGCCAACTATATGGGGTGTTAAATTTGCTTGAATCATGTCCAATAGCATGTTTATTGTAAACGTTTTCTTCTGTTAATCGGAAGAACAGGCATACGTTACAAGTGATACGTAAAGGTCTTTACTGCTAGCAGAATGCTTTTCAAACTGGTTTCTAGGGACTGGTTTGTGCTAAAGAGCTTGAAAAAGATGAAGTTACGCTGTGTTGCTGCTCATTTTTTGCAGTATATTGCATAGAAAATAAACAAATTTGGTATTAACGTAATTGCTCGATGTCTCCTAGAAGTACTTAAGTTACATAAAACAAAATAGCAATGCTAGATTTTTTTCTTAATATCCCTCCTCTTAATTTTCTGGACCAGAGAAAGGTACTGTTTTCATAGGTTTATCGTGAAATAGTTCATCAAATGAAATAGATTTAGGATAATGGAACTTTGTAAACCATACTGTTTTACAAAGCTTAGTGTTAGATACCAAACTAATTGTAAAAGAGGTGCAGTTCTTACGATACCTTTTGTGTCAGTTCAGTAATCGGGTTTTTTATAAATTTGAAATAATGAAGTTCTCTTTCTTTCTGACCTAGTGTGTTATGAAACCAACTTAAGTTGGAAACTTAAGTTGGTTTCATACCCTTTCCCGATATATATCACATCATATATCTTTATTCTAGTATATTCTAATGGAAGAGAACTTCAGACTGCTTAGTCTGTCACGTAGGTTTTTTTTTTTTTTTAAATAAGATAAATGAAGTATTTAAGCTTGCATATGTTCTAATGTACACTAGGGGGCTCTGCCAACATAGTTTTGCGACAGGCACAGAGGCTGTGTGGGGTGAACAAGATGAAAAGATTTACTGGATGTGGGTAGCTAGTCTGAACAATAAAATAGTTTTAGCATTTTTCTCTAGATTGAAAGAGGCACAAAATTTACAGGCTTAGTTGTATCAAAATAGTTGTTAAATATAAATTAGTAGAGCAGATTCTGTCTTTTGGGGAAATAGCTGTCAATGTATTTATTTTGAATTTATTCTGAATTTCAGTCACAGGACCCAAAATGCTTTAGAAGCTTGTATTCACTGAGTATAATGCTACAATGGTGAATCTGATGGCAAAACAGACACTTTGTGTTTTGTTTCATGCAGAAAATTCATGAAGGAGTTGGGACTAGCATATAGTTCTCTGGTGACGAATCTTGTACTTTTATGATTTATTCTGAAGAAGAAAATTCAAGTGAATGCATGCATCCTTAGAATAGTCTTTAATAAATAATCTTGTTTATTGCGTACTTACTTCCATGTGACAGACTGTGGGTTTGCCTGCTTATCTTGTTTTTTTTGCAGTCGTTTTGGAAGTGATGATTGGAAGTTGCTTTTCTAGGATTTCTATGTATCAGCATTGGTAATCTGCCTTGTCACAAGGCATGCAAATTGTGACATGCAGTGAATTATTCTTAAGGGTGCATATATGCCTGAATATGCCCTTTACCATCTTCACTTCCTAAAAAAACACAGAAAAATCCCCAAACCAACCAAATGTGGTTGGCTTTTTTAAGGTATATTCTGTATTTGCAAGCTTTCTCAAGCAGGGATAGTGAATTTAAAATATTCTGTCATCGCTTGAGATTATTTGAATTTACATGCCAAGGTATCTAAAAATAAATGACTACTGGAAGCATCTGTATAGTAACGGTACTGATTCCAGCATTACATTCAGAAAAACTTTAAACAGGCAGTGCTTAACCCTGGATTTCAGAAGGATTTCTTAAGTTCCTTTCATCCTGATGCAGAATACTATGCAGGCGTGTTGTTAGCAGTTATATGTTTCTTTTCACATCCATTTTATTGGCTGAATTAATTTTTATTAAAAGCATATGCTCATAACAAATAAGGTGATAGAATACATTAAGGAATATTAAGAATATATTCCGGTGCTAGCTGGATCAAGGTGTGTAAGAGCAATGGAAGCAAAATTACTATTTAGTGTAGCTGTAATTAGTTTACTATGAAAACACCATTTTAAAAATAGACTAATGATTAAAATATTTCATAAGGAATTAGGAGACCTGAGTTCAATGCCTTTTGGCCTTGGTGTACTTGAATTCACTGCTTTCACATCCCAAAGCAGTTCTGTAATGAGCAGGGCATAGATATTCTGAGGTAACTGTTTCATCTTGTTGAAGTTAGACTGTTAGGGAGGCAGGAATGCAAGAGTCCTAGGGAGATAAAATAGAGAAGTTTAACTCCGTAACCTGCTGAATAGGAAACTTCTTACAGGGAGACAGAGGAGTGGAAGGGGAAGCCTGGGCTCTTGTTCCTGCATGAAGGAGCATGCATTTCAGGTAAAATTCAGAAACATCAGGATCCAAAACTTTGCATTTTTCAAAGTCTTTCCCTTTTCTTACGGCAGAGAAGCTGGGGTTTGTTCCAAGAGCTTTCTGTCTGCTCAGTGACCTGGCTGCAGTAGGAGGAGATGAGGCTTATCTTTGTCTTGCTTCTAGTCTGGAGGTTAGGGCACTCCTTAGAGTAATTAAGATTTAAACTCCTTTGGGCTGAGAAAGGGTCTAGGAACCAGTTCATCTACTTTACAGGTTACTTCTATTACCTGCGCTATTGCGGAGAAGGAATTGTCCTTGGTGCTCTATTATAAAACAAAAAACAACCCCTCTCAACTAACTCCTCCTCTAAATCCTCATTGTTTTTTTGCTGAACACAATAGATCCAGCCTTTGAAGGCAATTCAAGTGATCACATCTGCTCATTGTTTCCTGTGTTCTCTGTATTTAATATTCCCCGTTAGTTGGCTCTTGATGCAGTTCCCCATTGAATTTGCAGGTGTATGAAGTAGCCAGATGAAAGCTCTGTACACATTCTATTTTAAGCACTATGAGTTCTACAGTCAGGGCTATCCCATGTACTTTTCCTCTGATTGCACCAAGGAGAAAGTTTCTTAATTAGTCTCAATCTCTGCTGGACTAGGAACCTAGTTTTTACAAGACTAAATGCAGTGACTGAAGTAGATGCCCTAACTGTGGCTTGGCTGGCGCTGACGATGACTGAGTTTGTAGGTTTGTAGGAAGTAGTTTAACCATGATAAACCTCTTCGGTCCTCTGTAAGAATGGTAAAAATGCATCTCTTGACCCATCCAGTATGTTAAATATTAGGTGTTTAACCTTAACAAATACCTGAACAAACAAATACAGCGCTGATGATTACTCTTACGGGCCTGGAACAGGATCTGGCTGATAACAAGTGCTGTATGGACCCATTGCTGAGTTACGCTGTCTTCTAGCTGTTCTTGGTGAGAATAGTAGAGAATCTTTGTATTAATTTCAGTTTTCATTCATTTCAGTTTTTACTAATTGTAATGGAAATTATTTTTATGTTGTAACTGTAGAAAGTTGTTTGTTTTTGCAATTAAGCTGGGAAATCTTTAGAATTCTAGCTTACAGGTTGGTATGTTTATAGGTGAAAATTTTGTCAGAGCCTTGCTCAGAAACGGAAGGACTAAACTTAGGAAGATTTGTAGTGTTCTCTCCTCTGCAATTTAAGAAAATCCTCATTGAAGAATTGTCTTCATGAATTGCAACTGGTTTGGGTAGCAGGAAAAAAATTAATTTATTTGACAGTTGTGAAGATAGTAACTGCAGTGTTTTGTTTTTGTTCTTGTTTTCTGTGACAGATTTATTGTTCGCCCTGATGTCAGGCAAAAAAGGATGGCAGACTTTCTGGACTGGACTCTTTCAATGTTATCTAAATCCTCCTTTCAGACTATGGAGGGGACTGTTGTTATGAATGGCATGCTGCAGGCTCTGGTAAATACCATTTTTCTTCTCAAAGATAGATGATTATATATATATTTTTTTTCCAATGTAATACTGTTGTGGTAGACCTTTAATAGAAAATGTACAGAGAAATTCATGCTGATTAAAAATGGTAAGATAATATAAAGCCAGAATTTCTTGCACAATAGTTTTGAAGGTACAACTTCACATATATGTCTTTTTTCTCCAAGTAGTGTTTTCATCAACAAATGAAAGGGAAGTTGCCAGTACAGATATTGATAAATAACTCTCAAAAATGTATCTGATTGTATGTTGGTAGTCATTTCATAACTCAAATTTTGTTTGGCTTTGTACCAAACCTGTGAAAAAAAAATGAAGTAATTGGAACTGTACAAAATGAAGAAGTCGGGCTTTTGATGTAGCAGTGGCCCCTCCCAGGATTCATGAAAGTTTTAGTCATTCTGATAAATTTTTTCTGATAATTTTAAATTTTTGTTCTCAAGAGTTTTAATAAGACATAATAAACTTACTAGACTGTGTAGTTGAGTAGGCTGAAAAAATACACTTCCTTTATTTGCTTGTTAATCAGAAGAAGTTCATCATTTAATGTTCTTTATAAGAGTGAAATCCTCAGTTCGGGTTTTAAAAGTAATACCTATATAGTTGTACAATCATAGGACAGTCCAGGTAGGGGAAGAAAACTTGAATACCTGAACTAGTGCTATATGATAACACTCCTCTTGTGCATTGTAAGAATATTTTTCTATAACAGCTTTCCTGCAGTTTTATACTGTTAAAGTATTTGTGTATTTTGAATTGCTTGAATTAACAGTTCTGGTATCTGTTCCAATTGTGATGTCCAAACATATTTGCCTGGAGTAGGGGAATGTGTGTGTGGAGTTGTTTCTTCTTTGCTTTGTTTTTATTGTTAACAAAGTTGAGATAGCACACACGAAGTCAGAGGGCATGCACATGGGTAGCCTTTGTCCAGGTTTAAGGATTTGCTGGCATTTGTATGAGTTTCTATAATTTGCATAAATTTGCAGCTCTTTTTAAATAATTGCTCTGAGGACTTGTATGCAGTACATTACTAAACATCAAAGCAAAGTTCTGGAACAAGTGTGTGTGTGCTGGTGGTTTTTTTATATATAGATTTTATTTTTTTTCCTGTAGCAGCTCTTCCAAATCAGAAGATAGGAGAAATGATCTATATTTAGAATGACTTAGGACTTGCTGCTTAAGCAAGAGGAAGCATTATTTGTATGCATTGCAGTCTGTTTCAAAAGACAGAGTGATGTTTCATCATTTTATTGTCAGATCTGGAAAGGGAGACTGTTTGCCATTCTAGGTGCATGATGAGACCTGTAGGATGTATAATACATTAGTGTTTTGTCATAATTCTTTTGACTTTGGCTTTGGCTCTATCCACCTGTTCATTAGTGCATACTAAGCGAAACAGGTGAATACTTAACAAGTCGAATCGAAACTAGAATGTGATACAATATACCTGGAAGCAGAAGCCTGCCTTCTTGCATTTGTATGATTTTTTTTTCCTCCTATACATCGTGGAATGGGAGAAAATATTTATCAAGCCAGTTTAGTTGGTATCCTACAGCTCTTGTTCTAGTTGGTAGCCATGAACAAACTGATTTTTAAAGCCTTTTTCTTGCATTTAGCTTTGAAATTTTAATTTCAGTTACTGCAATTTAAGCACAAATTGTATCATTAGGAAATAAAGGTTTCCAGAAAGATACATATGTAGGTATATGTATGGAGACATGCTTAAGTGGAATAGGAAATATTTATTTTGAGCGTTTAATATAACACTTAGAACAATAGCATGTAGTTAAACCAAAAATATTACCTGAAAGTAAAAGCAGTATTCAAAAGAAGTAAACCTGTTCCTTTAAACATTCAAGATTTTAGCAGTCTCTACAGAAACAAAACAATAATTGCTAACTGCGTAAAGCAAAATGCATCCTCAGGAGAGACAACTAAAACTTGGCTCGGCAAGCTTCAGAAGTCTTTGCCCTTGAATTCCTCCAGCAACTTGTTACTTTAAGAGTCAAACTGCAGTTACCTGGTATTTGTGTCTGAACAAGCAGGAGAAAAAAGACAAATTTTCAGTTCCCAGCCAGTACAGCAAGGCAGGTTTCGGGGAGGTAATGCTGCTTGGCCACAGTGGGTGAAATAAGTCTCCCCCCACCACCTAGGATCAGTTTGGAGCTTCCCCTAACAGCATGGATTTCAGTGGGATTATGATATTAGGCTGTTTATGGTCTGCATTGCTGTGAGATTGGCATGGCAAAAGTGTTTCCAAGTGACATTAAGCCCTTGCATTTCAATGAACTGAAACTGCAACTTAGGTACGCAGTGAGTAGTTCTGTGCTGCTGCACTTTGATCTGCCTCTTCGTGGCCTTAAGTCTCGGTGATTAGGTATGCTACTGTTTAATCTAACTCAGCATTATGTGTAGAACAAGTACTACTGTTTCGTGATTCCTGTTGAAACACGCAGCCTGCATTACACATTTTAATTCCACTGATGCTTTTTTCTTTTTTTCTTTACACCTGTCGTCAGTAATATATCATTTCACAACAGGTGTGCACTAGCAGGAATCTTTGCTTGCTATGTTTCAGATTCAGTTTTTAAAACTGCTTGAAGTGCTTTCTTCTGTTGAAACTAAAATCTCAGTGTCGAACTAAATTCATTTTTGTGTTTGGACACTATGTACGTGTAGGTAATGTGAAGGATTATAAATGTTGGATTAACATGAAATTGCTACTTTTTTATAACAATTGTTTACTTGAAGGAAACATCTAACCTGTTTCAAGAATCTGCATTTTAAATTCTCTTGGTCTGGAGGTTTGCTTTTAAACCTGCCATTATATCAAACAGCTTTTTAGTTATTGCTGCAGGGTGTAGCACTCCCAGTTCTTGCGTGACAGAGATGTCATCATGTTGAGGTAGCCTTGGGCATTGAAACTTATTAAACCTTATTTGTTTTATAAGTGATTCAGTATACAAGTGTGAGTAATAATTAAAAAAAATAAAACGCCCTACACGGTGATCTGATGAAACTCGAGAGTCTTAAGAACAGGGCATTTCCCTGAGCTGTCTCTAATGCAAAGGTTATTTAGCAATAGCTGCATGCTTATGTAAATTTTGCTCCAGGGAAGAAAGAACTCTCCAACTCTATTCTTTCAGACCCAGAGGCACAAAAATAGAATATTTCCAAATAGAATGTTTCCCAAGTCTCTATTTTTTTGGCATTCTTAAAGAATTAGTGATGCTAGGATTGTCCATTGGCGTTATTTTTTAAAAAGATGGTATTGTTTGATGGTTTGGTGGTAAAGGTGCCCAAAAAGCAAAGCTGATACAAGGAGAAAAAAAAAATCCTTTCTTATGGAAGGGCACTGACCTCTTTACCTCTTTCTGGTAATACTGCATCTCTTCTCTTTTTGAAGAGTACAGAGTATTCCAACATGGCCTTTTCTGATACCTCTGTGTTGTTTTGTTGTTTTTTTTTGTCACCAGAAGTACTGAGGTTAGTTCAAGCTTCAGAGTTTCTGTTAGCATTAGATTGATTTTATTCTTCCTTTTAGAATATAGTGTTGTCTAAAGCATTATATATAGTATTTTAAGTATTCAGAATCTATTTTGGCAGTCTTGTTAAGATGGAAGTCCTGATCTATTAGTCTAAATTTTTCAGGCTTTCAATCGATAAATAACTAAGATGATACAAGAACTTAACTCCTTCTGCCAACTATTTAACTGTGCTGTGTATCAAAGCTTGTCAGAGTAATTACCATGATCAATACCCTGACACACACTATTTCTAGTTGTATTGAAGCTGTATAAAGAACAAGGGCTTTAACTCAACTCTTTCACCATTTGTTGCACTTGCAGTGCGTTCCATACTCTCTACTTTCAAGCAAATTTATTATTCTGACAGCACGTCCTCCCTCACCTTGTTTACCTCCCCACGTCTAGCCTGGAGGCAGGAATGAGTGATAGCTTTCCCTCGACCTGGATGCTGTGCCACTACTAGGGGGTGCTCCAGAGTAATGAAAGATACCATTTTCTTCTCTTCCCGCAGAGGCTGAAATTATCCTCCCAGTCCTTGCCTTGTTGGTTACAACCAGAGGGTAGGTTCAGACCTGCGACTCCTGCTCGGCAGGAAGGTAGACTTGCTGCCAAGCAGTCAGGCCACCCTTAATGGTGATTTGTATAGCTTGGGGAACATGTCCCGGAGATGATCCTGATTGATATATCTCACAGAGGTCGGGCCTAAAGTGGGTTATGTAGACAATTGGAAGGTGTGGTGTATTTCTTCTATGATTACTAAGAAACTGGGTTTTGTTTTCCTTGCACCATGCTATTTCTAAAGCAAAACCAGACTTGACAGTCGTCATTGCTTGCACACCACTGATTTTCTCTAATTTGTAGGTGGCTTAATTATTTATAAGAGAGGGAGTCACATACTTTTCAACAGTTCAACAGGTTGGGTGAGTTGGTGTATGCTCTGTGTCCTCATTAAAGTGGAGGGACCAGGGTGTAACTCCGATTGCCTGGATACTCCAACAGACAGGCTCCTTACTTTCAGTATTATTACTTGCTGACACTAAAATGTCTATATGGGTGGCAAACCAAGCTTATTAATTATTTTGTTTGTATCAGATTTTTCTGAAACGGTGTGCCTCGGATGTTTTTCTTCCTTCAAGGCAGGAAGTTTAAACTAAATACTGTAATGCTGATTTGTCCTTTTTTCCTTATTTATTTTTTTATTTGTTTGCTTGCAGTGGTGCACCGTGCACTTTGCTTTTTAGTATAACCCCTGTATGTATGCTCTAGTGTTGCAGGATTTTTCTAAGACAGTAAGTTTGCTTTATATGCATGTTAGTAACATAAAACAAAAATAGAAAAATACACACATCTTTTATTTTAGAGGCCGATAGAGCAGGTAAAGTGCTCTTTTATTTCCCCAGAGGAGTTATCAATGAAGCTTGAACGTTTGACAAATTTCGGGCTTGTGAATGTTTTTACATGCTTTGATTCATGAAGAAGTCATGAAAACATCATCTTAATATTAAAAAAAAAAAAAAAAAAAAAAGGTTGGGGGGTGGAAGCTGAAGCTGGATTCCCAGCTTTGTTGACCATCCAAAGAGTAGTACTCAGCTGTATGGTTATTGCCTACTTTTATAAGAATTGTTTTCTGCTTAAAAAAATATTAGATTTTCTTTGAGAGAAAGAAAATGCTTAACGTGTCACTTGCTGAAACACCAATCATCTGGTAGAAGGTTATGTTCCACCTGCAGTGTACATCAGTTGGTGCAAACAAAACTTTTTCCATTTCACATGTACCTCTTTTTCAGCTTTATTTATTCCAAAATCAATAAATAACATTTTATTTATCAAAAACCATGTAAATATTAAGTCCCCATTTTTAAAGTTTGTTTATTAACTTGTAACACACTAGCTACAGTGTTATTTGGTTAATTTGTACTTCCATAAAAACTTGCATCAATGAAATAAAACCCCTTACTTCATATTCGAGAGTAAGGGAGAACATTGAATCAGGTACTAAACTTGTCGAAGATGGGAATAAACTACTATGATTTGTATAGCTGAAAATTTCCTATATTAGAATCTGCATATTTTTCATACTTTATAAGGAAAAAGGTTCATATGGTATGTACAGAGTGTATATTCTTAATGGAAGTTAACATTATTTGTAACTTTAATTCTCAAGTTAAACAGTGCTTTTCCCTGAGATTTTCTTATGTAGACCTGTCTAAAACTTGTCAGGGTTCTTGTGATGGGTTAAACTCTTGCTACTGAATGATTGAAGAGAGGTTTAGTTTCAAGGTGTGGAACCTGATTTGTTTTCTGAAAAAAATAAATAACCGAGCTATCTTGTAGTGTAAATCTCAGTTGAATTACAGCTGTTGCTATAATGATTTTAACATCTGAAAGTACATTATAAAGTTTTGGTGTATTTGTGAGTAGATATTCCATGTTGAAAATCAAATATGAAAATAGTTTGTTATTTAAGTATGTAATGAAACTGTTATAGGAAAACAACATGTGTTTCGCTTGTCCAGTAAATTCTCTAGAGAAACATGTGAAATTTGTTGAGTTTGCTGTTCTAAATTGACTTGTAAGTGAGGCTGGTTTCTTAGTTGTCTTGAGAAAAAACATTAAAAATAAGTCTTCTACAATAAGTGAAGAGTTTTCTTATTTCCTGCTTTTCTGTTGGTTAATTTCTTCCCTCTTCTCGCTTTGAGGCGATACACCTTCTGGTTATGTTTTTCTCAAGGAGTCAGAACTGAATTCAAAGTTGGCCTTGAGGATGTGAAAACTCAGGAAGAAACTTGCAGAAAGGTGTTAGAATTAAGGAGCTACATAAGAGTGAAAATGCGAGCATGTTCTGAGGCTACTATTCCATCTTTGCAGGAACTCCATGACAGTTTGCTGTGAAGTGTGGGGCTAGAGCTCCAAATGCACTTGCCCAGGAGCATTCCCAAGGCTATATTACAAAGCTTTTTCTTTCCATTATCAGTACTTTAGGAGTTACACTATATTTTGATGGAATATGCTTTAACATAGTCTTAATAAATTTGAGGCAGTCCATGCACACCTTAAAAACAGTATTTGCTCTTACCTGGGCTTGTGTGCAGAGAGGAGAAGTACTTCTGAAGATGAGGTGCTGCAGAAATGCTGCAGTGTCTACTGGCATCCATTGCCACCTGGCAAACCTTGGGAAGAAGCCATCTGTTCTGAACACAGGCACAAAGATACGAAGAAATGAGCTTATGCACACTTCTGCAGAGAGAGAAAAATCAGGCCAATTTTTAGGTTTGTTAACAATACTCTAGATTTATAGATTTGCTAGAGAACCTATAATGGTTCTGTAGCATTTCTGTTTTGTAAGTGTACTTTTTATAGGATGCCTTACAATTGCCTGGTTACTTCAGGAAAACATTAAAAATCTCAAATAATTCAAGATACATTGTTAAATTCCACTATGTAGCTTGTAGTAAAGCTGATCAGAAGTGCTAATTTAGGATTCTAAAATGTAATTTAGTTACAAAACAAAACAGAATGGGTACATAGCCTAAAGGTGTTTTTATTGCTTTTGTTGCTCTTAACCACACCTGCAGTACAGGAGGCATGTGTATTTGGTATGTGTGAGAAAGTACATATTTTTAAGGTAAGTCTGTTCTTGTTTAACTCCTAGGCATGTTTATTGACGAAGGTTTTTCTTCTGGTGAATGGCAAAGTTCAAGGAAAACCAAGTGGCTGAACACAGTAGTTTTGATACATATGAAGTGGACTGGGGAAACTTTAAATGTGTAACATGTTTTTGTCTGCTAGTAATAGTGCTTTTTTCTCCCTGTACAGCTGAAGCTAAATCTTACTGTGATTTTTAACCATATGTAAAATTATTTTGGGGGCTATTTGCAGGACTGAATACTTGAACTCTTCTTTAAATCCCTTGGCACAGGAATTAAAATGTGTCTGGTGGAGGTATATTTGCAGTCAGGGAATTCTGTACTTTTTAGTTTAACAGGGAGTTCTCAAAAGCTGCTGGAGAAGCAGGGTAAAACACTTGGCAGTGGAGTCTGTGCTGTGTCCTGTCTTGTCTGAGTTTGATTGCTACCAACAACCAAGCTCGCTCACGTGTGTCCACCTGTCTTGCTTCTCACAGCAACTGGCGCGTTGATGTGTTCTGTCTAAATTACGAGCAAGGCTTTGTTCAATTTGGAGAACCCTTCGATGTCATGAGGTCCCAAACAGGATGTAGAGTTCCACTTATTCATGGTCTGCAGATTCGTCTTCAGTTCTTAGAGGTTCAAAGCAGCGTGAGCTGTTAAATAATAGCTGCTGTGGTTGCACCTGCATTGAACTGGTGTGACCAAGCACTGAAGCACTGAGCTGGATGGATCAGGGAGCTGAGCTGGCTGAAGAACGGCTCCCCAACCCCCTCCTTGAGCGTGTGTTTTTGGGCCAAATCAGCTCCCAGAGCTGGCTGTCTGCATGAGTGTATGAATGGGAGGGGCAGGCTGAGCCATGGTAGCCTTGACTTGCATTGACTTACAAAGAAGTAGAGCTGCACCCCGAGACTCTTCCTCTTGGCTGTTTAAATTACTAAATAGCTTAGATTATTGCAGGAATATTAAAAAATATTTTAGATCTATATGCCTGATATATTAAGCTTTAGAATCTCTATATTCTTATATTTATTTTCCCTATTTTAATTATAGGCACAGTTATTTAAACATGGCAAAAGAGAAGACTGTTTACCTTATGGTAAGTTTGTAATATCCTGATTTTTGTTTTTAAAGCCATTTCAATTTAAAAAGGAAGAAAGGACGCACAGATAAAGAATGAATGGTTCTGTACAGAGTAAAATAAAGTTTTAAAACATGCAAAGTAAGGGAAAAAGAAGAGAAGCCAAAGTGAGGGAGGAGAAGATACAGCTGAAGAATGTTATGTTGGAAAATCTAATTTGGCAGGTGATCAGGTTCGCCATTGGGCTAAAGGGGCTGAGCACAGAACATAAGATGTGAAACATATTTTAATGAAATTCATTAGAACATATCCTGGTGTTATGCCTGTTAGTGCTGAAAATTTTACAGAAAATTTCCAAGTGTTAACATAAGCCCTGGATTTAGGAAATTCCAAGTTTAAAGAACCTGATGTATACAGGATCCAGCTGGAATCATGTGGTGGTGTTGTTGAAAAGAGGAAAAGTTTCAGTGGAAAGAGATGATAATGGATTAAATTAGGGATAGACAGGTACTTGAGAACACAGAAGTTTCTGAATATTGTATCTTTATGTTGGAAGTATGTTCTCATGGTAAAACCTGGAATTGTTCTGAACTGACTGCACAATACTGGTTTGCTTTTTATTGGTAGTGGAAAAGAGAGGTACAGAGAGATAATGGCTAATTACAGAACACAGCAAAAGAGATCATCTTTCTTGTGGAACTTAGCAAAACACCAGAAATGTGTTTTGTGCTATTCACAGGAATCAAGCAATGATGTAAACTTACATTAGAATGCTTATAACTTGATTTAATGGAATGATTTTGTGGTTTTGACTTCAGAAGATAAACTACGTAGGTCTAGAGCAGGAAACAGTTTCATTCTCCCAGTTACTAAGTATGACATGCAGACCCTTACTTACTAAAATTATGGATGTGTCCGATAACTAGAAACATGAACAGGCTAGATAAAATATAGTATAATGCAAAATAATTTAAAAGATGCATCTGTACAGCAAAATATTGTCATAATCAAAACAAATATTTGGCTCATGTTGTTAACCCTGCTGGTAAAGTTAGATGTTTTGGCCTGTGGCATCTGGTAGTATGAGGAAAGCAAGGCACATACCAATGAATTAATAAATTTACCCCAGAAAAGACAGAATGCTCACAGCTAAGAAGCAAATATTCAGACAAAAAATTGGGGGGAAAATGAAATGTGAGAGGTGAAAAAAAACAGAGATTGTTAGTTATTACAGGGTTATAACAGAACTGAAGATCAAATAGAAAAAAAGAGGTGGAAGTCAAAGGACAACACAAAAGTGTCCTTTTGTATTATAGAACTGGAGTCCTTTTGTATTATAGAACTGGCGTTAAAAACGAGCACAACTCCTGAGACCATTTGCTTGGATCTGTGGATGATCCACAGTGATTCAGTAGTTGGACTTGGAAAAGGCTTATATTTATATATTCTTAATTTTTTTTTCTCTCTGTGAGTATTGATGTTTCTGCAGTCTTTTAAAGCATTAATATCTAGTTTTTTAAAAGTTGTAAAAAACAAAAATCCAGGTTGCAGGAAGATATTTAAATAATAGTCATTATTGGCTTCACCATTTTGCCTGCATGTATTATTTTACATTATTTACATTATTTCAGTATGTCAGGATAAATCATAAAGCTGTTGAAAACTTGAGTCGATTTTTAAGTCATGTGCCCTACGATTTCTCAGTCTTTGAAAGAATTGCTATATCCTTGATCTCGATATTTTAGAAAACCCAGTATGAGACTGGATTAGAAAGTTGCAGAAAGATGTAATTCTGTATCTGCAGTGCTTACAGTAAGAATGATAGGTCCTCCAGGGTCTGAGTTGTTAGTTCATATTAACTACTGATAAGTTGTAGGCTCTTTCTTTGAGTAAGTCGTTTCAGGCTGCAAATGCAAAAGGACTGTTTTATTTGTAGCATGGATGTGTTTCTTGTGAAAATTTTGAATTCTGGAGTCATTAATCCAAGACTCTCCATTAGTCTCTGTTTTTTACTCTGCTGGACAAATAACTTTGTTAGCTTTGATGTGCCCAAATGAAAGGTTTTGTTGCTGATTGTTTACACGTACACATTATTTTTCATGTCTAAGTGTTTATGGACATTCATCATCATAAAAATTTTCTGTGCAGAGGATTTAAGTTGGTGCTACCTGAAAATAAAAAATGAGGAAAATGAACAGTTTTTTAGTATGCAGGGACTGGTCACAGAGTAACTGAATTGTTTTTTCTGACTTCTGGTTCTGTTAGGCTACTGAAAGTTCTTAGACCATGAAAGATTCTTCAATATGTTTCTTCCGGTGAGAATGAGACGCATAAATGCTCCCTCATGATCTAGATTCGTTTTGATTTTCATAGTCAAAAGTAATCCTTAAAGTAATCCTACCTGTTTGGTAGGTGAAGGATATTACTCTTATTTGGCCATTGTCAAAACTATGACAAAGTAGGTAGTACAGCATTTGCATTTCAGTAACACCTTTAAAAATCTAAATCTGCTACAGATTTTTTGAGATTTTAAACATTTATTCTTTTTTTACTGAGTCTTTTTTAAAGTATTTGTCTTGACATGTTTCTTTTACAGCTGGTACTGTACTTGAGTGTCTTGATAACTGCAAGCTATCAGAAAGTAATCAGATGGTTCTTCGCAAGCTGGGGATGAAACTTGTTCAACGACTTGGACTGACATTTGTGAAACCAAAGGTAGCAAAGTGGAGGTTAGTTTAAAGCTGAAACAATGATTTATTTATTTATTTATTTTTTTTAAGGAAAGTGAATCTTAAAAAAAAAAATCGCAAACACTCCAAAACCTTAAAAAGTCTTACATCCATCCATTTGATTACCAGTCTCTGCCCTCCTGCCTTCCCTCCCCGAAAAAAAAAAAAAAGAAATCCTTGTATTATTTAAGACTTGCATACGTCCTTCATTTGAACACTTCGGAGAATTAGATTTCTTATGCTGTATTTAGTTTTCTCTGTTTTTTCAATTTTGGTATAGTAAACCACTGCAATGTTGTGACAACCGAAGTCTTTTGATGTTTCATGTTGCACATTACAAAGTCTCTTCCTATATAATGCGTAACTTGGTAAAGATGGGAAGGTGGTGAACTTTGTTACTGAAGTTGATTTAATTCAATTTTGTGAGAATGAACTTAATTTTTCCATTTCATTTTTCTACCCTGATTCGATAGAAGGTTCACAGGGGAAAAGTGGTTTGTGATCCCACTTCAGTTTTGCATATTAGTCAGGTTTTGGTGTCTGGTTTTACTTATTGCCAGAGGGCAACCTCTTTTTTAGATTTCTCGCACTGATATTTTTAAAATTGCAGGCTCCATTGGTGACTATTTTTTATTGTATTTCTTTTACCAACTTTTGAGAATGTCCTTAGGCATAGAAAATTCTTTTTAGGTGGAGTGTACCTTGCCCAATGGCAAGAGTCACTTTAGCATGGAAAGTATATCTTTTGTAAGAATGTATCTATACCACAGGCTAAATATCTGAGTACAGCTTGTGCAGAAAGTACTGAGCTGGCTTTAACATTTAAAAACTATTTTTCATAAATTGATATATATATATATATATTATTTTTTTTTTGGTAGGTTTTGGAGAGTATTTTAGGGCATGGGAATTTTGCCTCTTATTGTCAGTAGTGGAAAGTAGGTTATATTGAAACAGGAAAGGGAGAGAGATGATGAAAGGTACAAAACAGTTTTGCACAGGAACCATTTAAATAGTCTAGCTTTTCTCAACCTAGAAAACAGACAACTGGGTCAGGAGGGAGGAAAATGGGATACTTTTCCCTTTCCTTTAAAGCAACCTCTAAATAACTGGAAAGCTGTATACTGGGAGGTGCAGTCACTTGACAAGCAGGCTTTGTAACAGTATATACCTGTTTCAATTGGAACTTAAATCAGAAAAGATTATTAACTGTCTCTTTTTTATTTGTTTAGGTATCAGCGTGGCTGTCGGTCTCTGGCTGCCAATCTGCAAGCTAAGGGTTCGGTTACGCAGAATCAAATGATAAATGTTGCTGCTAATGAAGCTGAGGATGATGAGGCATATGACATTCCAGGAGAGATTGAAAATGTTGTAGGTGTGTTAAAACCAGACAGAAGTTATCGTAAGGCATGCAAATTAAGTGCACATTAGGAAAATGGCTTGTTTAGTGCTAAGAAAGTAAAGTGTATATCTGCACTAACGTGAACAATTGAAAAGACTATAAAACTTCAATCTGTGCATCTTGTTAAAATATATGGTATTTTTGCCAAATTATTTGAATTTTAGCATCACAAGTAGGAACTCAGTACTTGTAACATTTTTTTTGTGGGGTTGAGGGAGGGAGTTATTGAAATACGCTTTCCCAGTAATGTGAAAGTGTTATCTTGAGCCTTTCAGAGATGGAAGGATGAATTAAAATTCATAATGAAAAATGAAGTAAATGGCATTACATGAAAGCAAAAGAATTATGTGGAAGATTTTAACCTGTGGTAGTATCGAAGGAACAGCGTTTTCTGTTAGTATGTATTCATAAAGGAGGTCCTCTGCTAGCTTTCTGGTGGATATGCTATAAATAAATAGGCAAAGATTGCATCAGAAAACATCTATAACTTAGTAATCTAAGGAACCTCTGAAAAAAAAACCATTATGACTTCTATTTTGAATCTGTCAGAGTAATTCAAATTTTAAACCAAAATTTCTGTTTTAGAAAACAATTTTGACATCTTTTATGTTTATTTAGTTTCAAGTCATGCTTGTGTGGCCTGTATAATAAATCTGGAAACAAATATTTTTGTTTAAATTGGGAGGCAGTTATGTTAATAGGAAAATGGATTTGTAATGTTTTCAAAAGTATTTCTCTTGTTAAATAAATTAATTGAAACAAAACGATTATTTTCATTTATCTGCAGAGCAATTGTTGGTTGGACTGAAAGACAAAGACACTATTGTCAGGTGGTCTGCAGCAAAAGGGTAGGTTTCGTATTGTTACTCTAAACTATTAAGCTAAACAACAAAAATGCAATCTAATGTAACTTGTGATTGATAATTTGTGTCTTGCCAATATTCATAGTTACTTCAAATGGCTTTAGCACAGCTCATGCTGTAAATCTGTGTTTATGACTTTATCTAGGTGCGTGTGAGATGGGGCTAGTCTACAGGAAAATTACAGCTGGGTTTGGAAATAGACATCTTGTGTAAGATTTGACTTAAAAGCTATAAAGTAGTATTTCTTCAAAATGTCTTTGTTCTCCTCCCCTTTGAAAAAAATATATTTCTGTGTTAATTCTCTACTTTGTAGCTTTTGCTTCAAGCTTGAGATTGGTGTTTTAGGCTAATTGTGTTAGCATGATCCATTGTCACCTTGAGTTCAGCCATCGTATTGTAAGCTTCCAGTAACTGAATTTTTTATTGGATTTATTCATCAAATGGCAGTACTAATGAATCACCGTATGTTTTTTTTTTTTTCTTCTCTAGAATTGGTAGAATAACTGGAAGACTTCCAAAAGAATTAGCAGATGATGTGGTTGGGTCTCTGTTGGATTGTTTTAGGTAAAAATCTCACTTCATATTTTATGTGCATGTGAAACGTGTCTGTTTATGAAATAGGAAGACTCCAGTTACAAAAATAGGTCTAGAAATCTGTAGATCTTATTATCTTTCTTCTCCCAGATTTCAGAATCTCCTAAGGCATAGGTGTACCACACTCAGGGTGTTCAATAAACTATTCCTAATCCTCTGTCTCCACCCCATTCTAAATTAATTTGGAAGGACTAAAATTGATCTTTGGGAATGAATAAATAAATAAATAAACTTTATAAGCTCATTAGCTCGCTCCCTTAAAAATTCCTGGTGTGATCATATCTTGAGTGTTGTGTGCAAATAGTAGACCTGGAAGTGATATTCAAAAGGATTCTGAAGATTATTAGTGTTACAAATCAGTCTCTATGTGAGGGGAGGCTAAAACATCTAGGAAGAGTAATGAATGAAAGGGGTATAACAGAGGTTTATGACGTTGTATATGACAGGGAAATGATTGCTCTCTAGTTTTTATATTATTAGAAACAAACTAAAGTAGGAGGTGACAAGTTTGGGTTACAGAAAAAGTGGTTATTCACAGTACACAGTGAAACTGTAAAAGTGTTGTACTACAGGATGTGGATGTATATGCCTGATGAAAAAACAAACAAAACCAAACCACCATTTTTCTTTTCTGCACACTTGTCATGATCAGCCAGGGACTAGGAATGTTTTGAAGAGAGTTACAATATCCTTGTCTTGTTCTTTTACTAGGCCAGAGGAGTGTAGTGTTGGTCATGGAGCAGCTTTTAGATCAGCTAAACCATCAGTCTGATCAGTTATAGCTGCTAGGATGTTCTTCTGATGTGCTTTATGGCTGGATGGCTTGCTTCTGCATGCATGTAGAGCATGTGATGGACTAAATTGTTAAACAAGTACCATATGCTTTTTTGTATTGAGTTGCTCAATTCTGCATTGAGTACCTGAGCTTTAAGGTCTAAACAACTGTTTTTGACTAAGCTAATAACAAAAAGAATAATTTCTTTTTGACAAAAAATACAGGTAATCTTTAGTTTGACACTCAAATCTACTCTTTAAAAATAAAAATAAAAATCCCACCTTACTTGACAGTGCAAATTAAAAATTTCAGCTAAAAGGATCATGCAATAAAAAAAAGAAGCTATGGAGTCTTAAAAACTTGCAACGTGAAAGTATCTACTTAGCCAATACTTCCACTGTGCTACTGTGATTAATTTAAGAGGTGCTGCTGATCTCAATTATCCCTGGAGCTTCAAAGACCTGTACTCGCAGTGTTTTCTTTCCTTGTTTTTCAAGTCATAGGGGTGAGTAATGCAGCTAGTAATTGAATGACCTGCTTTCTCCAAAAGCACTTGGGAATGAATGTAGACAAGACAAAGGAGAATCTGTACGCTTTGCACTAAATATCTTCTGTACACTTTGCACTAAATATCTACTGAATAAAATAAAAAGTCAGTTGCTCTTTAGAGGCACTTCAAATTGTATCTCTCAGGATAAGAAGAAAGGATGTCTTATAGATAAATTCAGAGACAGGAAAGAAATAAATGACCATTTATCACAGTGAGACTTTCAGCACAGTCTGCAGGGGTCCATAGGAGCCCTGTGCTGTTCAAGATACTCAAAAAATTATCCTGGAAAAAAGGTGAACAGTGGGGTGATGAAATTGATTGATGGTTGAACTTAGCTAATACAGTGAAAACTAGAGGTGACAGAAAAGAAAATGTTATATAAGCCTAAATAAAGTAACTAGACTGTAAATGGCATGAAATATAATGTCTAATGAATGAAAACTAATGCACTTAGGGAAGAACACAACCAGCTATAAAAGTTACTACTACTCAGGAAAGAGATCTTGAATTCACTGTTCATGGTTTGATAGTTTTTTGAAGGTGTCAATGGAGCAGCAGTCAGAAAATAAAGAAGGCAACTGGAATGTTAAGTATTATTAAGAAGGAAAAAATATCAAAACTCAATCATCAGGAATTGATTTAACTGATGTGGATTCTTCCAAGTGGCAAGAAAAAGTAGAGGGATCTAATGGAGATACATAAAATCATGTATATGAAAGAAATAGGGAAAGCCAGCAATTGTTTACGATTTACTCTTCCTCAGAGTGCGACAACTGGGAAGTATCAGGAAGTACATTTACACGCAATTAACCTGTGGAAGTCATTGCCACAGGATGTTATAGAAGCCAAAAGTGTAAAGGGAGTTCAAAAAGGGATTATCCAAATTAATGGAAGAGAGTCCCATCAGAGGTTATTAAATGTGACATTCTGGATGCAACCTCTGGCTTGGGAAGTCCCTGTACATTGGATTGCCAAAGCCAGGAGGAGGCTAATGAGGGAATGATCCTTTGTGCTTTGTCTCTGGCTAAGCATCTGCTATTGGCCCATTTCAGACACAGGATGATTGGGAGAGGTGAAGCTTTGGTGTGACATAGTTCAGTTGTTTAGTGTCTTATTCTTAGGTTCCTATTCGTAGTTTAATACAAAATTAACTTCATGTGTGTTTAGTCACATAGCATACAAGCTTTCCCCTTTTCACTCCTTTACCTGCCAGTCCACCAAAATCTGTGTACTGTTTTTGAAATTCTTTTTGCTGTGTTCACTATAAGGCACTGTTTTGGTTTATGGTTTTGTTTAAATGAGCAAACAGTGGTGTTTAGACACCTTTGAAATGCACAGGCTTGTATTATACATTTGTTATACTGCTCAGACGTCTTTTGCTAGTTAAGGATTGTGTTTGGCATTCAGTTCATTTTTATCTTGGATATATTCTGTAAACCTGCATTTTTGGCAGTGTAGTAGGAAGTTGTTTTCCTTTTCTGGATGAGTGTTTTGTATTGCATTCTTTTGTAAATAGGTTATGTTTATTACGTTTATATTGATACGTGGTTGTTGTTTTCTTTGTTTTGTTTTTTGTTCTTTTTTTTTGCTTGTGTCATTGCTTATTTGATCATGTTTACATCAGTATTTATATTGCACAAAATGGGAAAGAAAACATGTTCAATTCACCATTCTTATGTTTTAAAAATCTAACAGGAATAACAACACAATAAAAACATGCTGGTTGGTGCCTTTTAAAATGTTATGAATTCACCATGACAAACAAAATCCAAAAAGGAAAGGCTAGTCTTAACAAAACTTGTTTTAAAATTAGTTTTCAGGAAACAGACAATGCATGGCACGGTGGATGCCTGGCTCTGGCTGAATTAGGCAGAAGAGGATTGTTACTCCCTTCCCGGATCTCAGATGGTAAGTTGCAGTTGCTGAATGTTACTGTGCTTGTGAATTAACAGGTTTTAGCTTTAGAGACTTAATATGTTGCAATCGACTGGAATTTGCTGATGTGTGTTGAATAATGACCGTAGTATTGAAGTCTAGAGTAAAAAAATATGCCTATGGGGGTATTTAAGGTGCTTCTATCAAAAGTACTGTTTTGGGTGTGCCTTATTTATACTTAATAAATTTTTCTTTCCAAAATGAAATTAGTTTCTTGGGTTTTTCTTTTTTTCTTCTTCCCATGTTTCTTTGTGCAGTTGTATAAAAAATAATTCTGTATGTCTCTGTATTGTGTCAATGTCATTGTTTAAATGGAATATATAAAATAATTGATGACTAACTTGCACTTTAAAGCTGGTGGCTAACTCTGTTTATTAATGATAAAGTTTTCGAGGAAAGTTCGATATAATTTATACAGTTAAGGGTTTTAAGTTTTTTTATGGCTTTGAAGTATGAGAATGGAAAGAAAAAAAATGGGGCTGAAGAAATTGGTTTTTATGTGTTTTCTGTCTATATCGACTTTCATTGAAGCACATAGATATTAATGTGAAAGTAGCAGTTCTATCTTTCATGATTTTGTTTAATTCGCTGTAGACTTGAAGTGACAAAAACATAATGCAGTAGCACATATCCACCACTGGGCACTTCTAAAACTGTATCTTGGGCTAGGTGGTTCTTTTGATCTCACCATGTATTCTTGCATTGCTGTAGGAACAGAGAGAGGGAACATTAATTTTCAAAAATGTTTCAAAACTGGTATTTTGTATTAGTGAGCTAGGTTGATACATCTTTTCTATTCTGGCTATCTGTTGGCTTTGAGAAGAAAATGTAAAATATATTTAATACAGTTTATTATTCCGTCCCTGTGAAAAAAGTGCATATGCCAAATAGTATGTTTTGAATGTGAGAAGTTTTGTGCAGTTGGTTTCCCATTTCTAATTACTTTTGCCCCTTTACCTTTTAAAAGTTTTCTTAAAAACCCTTTAAGAATAGGAAGTCATCTAAAGGTAACTCTATTTTAGTTCAAATTAAACGAAAACTGTATAGCTTTATCAAGGAATCGGGATAGCCTACTGTAATAGATTTTTTTAATTTGGTGTAAACTAAAGGGTTCATGCAGATTTGATATTGTGTAAGAGTAAGAAAATCACGAGTGAATCCTAGCTCTGCCTGTGATATGACCTGTGCTGTGAAACCGTCTTCACTTTTTAGGTACAGTTTTTATGTATGTGGAGTGAGGCTGAGAGCTGTATCCTTTACGTTCTTCTTTTTCTGCACACGTGCACTGAAAACGTATTGCTTCCTGTGAAAGTGATTTTAGGATACGTAGGCTTACATGCAAATTTTTAATTCGTCAGATTGCATAAGATAGCTTTATGCTCTTCCACCCAAGCAATAGAAGGCTAAGGGGAGGAAGGGAAGGAGGGAACGCAGTCATGGCAGCAAGGTCTTTCTGGGAAGGAGACAGGCATCAAGGTCTAATGAAAAATGTTATTTTGAAATTGAAAGTTTCTTAATAAAGCATTGCTAAGAATTCAAACCGTCCTCTTTTAAGAGGATGAGCAAGAAACCTAGTCAGTGATTATCTTGACTAAACTGCAACTCCTTCAGTTACATGATATTCAAGAATGAATTATGCGTAAGGCAGAAATGTATGATGATGTGAAGAATGTATAAGGAGGGCAGTCTGAATTTGCAGGGATAACATTTGAAAGACTTGGTCATACAGTGGGATGCAGCTAGTGAAGAGTATAACAGGTAATGACAAAGCACACTGTGTCTTTGTGAGAATTATTGGTGAGCCTATCCAGGCTGTAGAATAGGCACAGTACAATTGAAATTGTGCCTTCGCCATTTCTTTTGTTTTAGTGGACCTTTTTTTTCATTTAAATTAATTTGAAAATAATTATACTAAATGCAATATATTCCTAATTTACTAGTCTCCCTTCCGTAAGTTTTGCTTTATGCAATTTATCCAATCCACTATTAATGTAGAAACTCAAAGTCAGTTGCAATAATTTGGAGTAAAACAAAGGAAAGGATTCTGAAAGTCAGAAGAGAAGCTAACACAGCGATGTTATGAGGAACTGTGCTGTACTTTGAAAGACAGACTTAGGTTCAAGTTGTCCTTCAGAAAATGATCTAGGGAATGAGGACAAGTACAAAGTAGTAGTCCTAGTCAGGAATAAGTAACTACGCAACTGAAGATACAAGAAGTGAATTCTAGGCAGCAGTGTCATGAAAGGATTTAACAGTTCATGTGGGTCACCCACATCAGTCAACAACTTTATCTCAGTAGAACAAGGTGGTAAAAAAAAAAAAAGAAGTCAAAAATCCAGTGCAGTAATCCTTCTGTCTTACTTGATATTAAAATTGTGCCTCAGAATTGGTACTCAGTTAGGGACATCACACTTAAAATACTGTTTAGAGAAAGGTAGCCTAAAGCAACTGGAATTCTGAGAACAGAAAATAAGACCGACAGCGAAAGATTGAAAGAACTAAGATTATTTGGATGAGACGAGACTAAGCTGAAAGTTTATTCTCTTCCTCTTGAAAGGCAGCTTTTCCTTTTGACAACTGTTTTCAGTGATAAGAACAAGACTACAGCTAATGGGTATAAGTTGCAGCAAGAGAATAGGTAGGTAAGTGTGAGGACAGATTTTGTTGTTCTAAAGGAAGTGAAACCCTAGAGTAATTTGTTTATGAACACTGAGTGAGAGGGATGTCTGATAGGAATGACAGAAATTGAGTTAATGAAGGTAGCTAACCTAAAGTTTCTCTTCAGTGTAGTTTTTGGCTCATTTGAGACATGGAGATATGTTGTATTTCACCACTGCAGCTAATTTGTGAACATTTTCCTAGAGATGGTGAAGAATAAATCCTTTAACTGTATGGAAAATGACCAGAAGGCTTTTCTTCCTTGTTGACTTAAAGGAATTCTAATTAAAAAGGAAGGAGAGATGAGAGTTTTGGAACTTATGGATAAGAGGACCTATGAAACTTTAAGCTTCAAGAGATTAGGGAGATACACAGCTTAATGTAGTTGGAAGAAAAAAAAAAAAAAGCAGGGACAGTAGACTGTAATTTCATGGCTGGGAATTGTGGATTTGGTAGCGGTTGTCCGTAATCTTGAAGCCTTAAGGTTGGCCTAGAAAGAATCTCTTTCTCTTTGTTTCATCAAGTACTGATGTACAACTTAATCCTTACTGCCTTGCTGTCATGATTTAACTGGACTTCTGTTACCATATTCCCTTTGTTCAAACTTCGCGTTGGTATTTTTGTCTTCTGATGATCTGAAAAGCTTTCTCTATGAATAATATTAGGGATCTGTGTTGGTACTCTTTTTCTGTTTCTTAAATCAGAAGCTTAATGTCTGTAATAGACTGTTTAATGTTAAAAGCTTAGCCAGAGCATTCTAAAAAGCTTATCTCAGAACATCAGAGCACAAAAATTACACAGTAAGTTCTGGGGACTCAACATTGCATTGAACTAATCTCTGCTTCCTTACAAAGGTCCATGCCTACTAATAGTGTTTAGACACGTGCGGATCTCTCTTATCTGAATAATGACACAGTGAGAAGTATATATGATATTTTTAAGTCAGTAATGCTTAGTCTGGGTCTGTTTTACCTAAGACTGATAGTGCAGACTATTCAAGCTCAGGCCAGCTGTTTATACAATGAACAGCCTCATTTCAGTTACACTTTTTGTAGAAGCAGCTTTTTGGAAAAGGCCTGTCATATGGGGCTAAAATGCAGATGAATTAATTTGCATAATGAACTTCCTTGACTTAACTCTGAAAAAGGAACTTCCTTGTTTGGTACTCAATACCATGTTCTACCTGTAAATTGAAAAGTTAGCTAGCAAGTTCTCTGCTGATTTATTTTTTAATGTGTGTTACAGATAATGTAGTGAATGTTTTTGTGTTCATTAATGACTTTCCATATATTTTAAGTATAGGTTACAGATTTATTTGAAAAATTACAAGTTTATATACACAGTTGTAGAAGCAGTAAACAGTTTTAGGATCTATTTATAAGCACACTGAAACACATAATTGATGACACATTTTTTCTGAAATAAAACCTTCACCGGGAGAGTTTTCTCAGGTGAAATAAATTATATAAATATCCTTCTAGACTTGGAGTTTGAAGGTTGCCCAGTGTCTGTCTTAACCTCAGAGGATCAGGCACCTAAATTGTTGACTTTCATATTTTCAGTATTGTTTTCATAGTGGTTCAGTTAAAGATAAACATAAACCACGTTTGTTACGTTGGTGCAGACTTTCTTTGGTTTAACATAAGTCTTGTTCTTAGCCAACAGAAGAGAAGTTTGTTTTTACAAGGTTTGCATCAGTCTGTTTAAACTGGCATCTGCCTCTAAGTAACTAAATTTGGTCTGTTTTGCATTATGGCATAAAGACGAAGTGCATTCATAGACAGAACAGTTTTTACAGTAAATTGTAAATAGCCAGGTTTAATCTTAAGCTTATTTAAACTACTGCACAGTGAAATAAGTTTTCCAAAGAAAAAAGACCAAAAAAAAAATTAAATGAAATTAAGCCTGAAAATACTGACAGTATGTTATTGAACAGTATTGTTTCTGGAGCTTAAACATCTTGTAAGAAAAGAAGTTGTAAAAATTATTTTACATTAATACAATTGCAAAAAACCTTAGAGCTTTGTCTAACGTACTTTGGCTTTAGTAATGAATGCAAAAATTCACTCATCAAAGTCTGAGCTTCTACAAGGGAAAGCTCAATTACTTAAAAACTTTAATATAAAAATATGAACATTATTTACAAAGGAGAGATTGAATGTATCTTGTCACGGACCAAATCCAATAAGAGATGGTTTATAGACATTTTCTGATGTAGCTGGTCACTAACTTCTATAACTAGAAACTCACTGGAAAGGGAAGCATTAAGATACTCTTGTTCTCTTCCTTAAAGTAAAGACTCGGCTACAGTCATTTGGCCTTACTCTTTTAGTGCCTTGCTGTGATTTTGCTGATTCTTTTTGATTTGTCCTTTTTTGTCCTTTTACTTTTTGATTGCACTGAGTATCCTGAGTATCAGAAGAATTAAGTGCAGGTTTTGTACATGAAGTATTACAATCCTGAGGACTCTGCCCTTCATTGTCCATTCTAACTTTGCTAGGGCTGTATGCAGCCAGCTGACAGAGAGCTACAGCTGCTGTTTGTTTCTGTTCATCGCAACTGTCAATTATTCGTAAGTCTTGAGCTTCGTTACGGTGAGCCAGGAAAGATTTGGTGCAGATGCTGTTAGTTGGGTTCTTGGGGTTACACGCATCTGCGGTAGAGTTTTCATTTTCAGGGTTTGGAGAAGTAGCAGCACCATTATCACGAGATGGACTGTGGGATGATGTTTTCAGGTTTCCTGTGTTGCAGGAATCTTTTACCGAGAGGTTCAGAGGCATATCTTGCAGTTCTAGAAAGTTCTGACTTTCTGTTTTGGATGTGGTTTTGTATGCATGTTCATGAGCAGGTCCTGCATTTGTGTCAGCCTTTTTTGAAAGGTTAAGGGGAGCTATTCCTGTGTCTTCTTCGGTGTTGGACAGTGAACCTTCATTGTTAGGGCATTCATTAGGTGTGTGTGAATCTTCATCAGTGACATTAATGCTGCAAGAAGAGAGAACAAAAGAGAATTCACTATCAGTTGCTCTTTTAAATTGGGGCTGAGGAAGTGGACAGAGAAAGAGAAAAAAAATGGTTATTAGTCTGACCACTTTGTTTTTCTTCCTTTCCCTCCCCCATGTCCCTTTCACTGTAGGTTTCACTCTAATGCACGTGTTTTCTCGAAATACACAGATACATGCGTAGTGATGGCGTTACAGATACCCGATGCTCTTCAGGTGAATGAGTGCTCTACTCACCGTCTAACTGGGAGCTTTACAGTCGTATCTGCTTTGCAGATCTATCACATAGAACAATTATCTTGGTACTATAAATGTAAATGTATTTTAAGGGCATTGCGTGAAATGTATACGTGCTGCCTTTGTGTGCCCCTAAGAAGTCTGACAAGACCTTGCAAAGTGATGTTATTATTTTACCTGGTAGGTGAATCGCTGCGATCTTGCTGTGTCGGCACGCTTTGAAGTTGAGTTGGTTGATCAGTGCTTTTTCTCACAGGTCTGAAAGCTGTGAAGTTTTCTTCTGGTTGATCATACTTGCTAAGCGATGTAGAAGATGACTTGTTGGAGAGGTCAAATAAGCCCTCACATGCGTGGCTTGTCTGGGTGAAGTTGGTTGGGCTAGGTCTACCTGGGGAGCCTGTTGCTGCACTTCCTGCCAGAGGGCTCATTTTAGCATTCTCGCGTTCATTTTGGTCGTCTTTGGAATGACTTTTGGCATGCAGTAATGTCATTTCTTTTTCATAGTCCGCTTGTTTTTTATGCGAACCTAGAGGGTATTGTTGGGATGGACTTAAAGAAGCTGGATACAACAAGGTAGTTTCTTCCATTAGATGAGAGCTTTGATCCCTGTTAATACCAGCTACGTGTGAAAATCGGTAAAACGGAGGATCGGTTGGCCTACAAAATCCATACGGTATAGGAGGAGTGGAATGATATTGTTGGAACAATCGATAGTGTTCATATGCTGATGGATTTATGGGTTTTGGAAGTGGCCCAGGATGGGGAAGAAAATGTCTTTGGTCTTGTGTGCCATAGACAGACAGAGCAGAGCTTTCACACTCTGAGTTACCTGGAAGCAAGTAAGGTGTGTAGATGGCCAGCCTGTGCTCATAAAAATGGGGCGAATACTCTGGAATCATCGGCTGCATGTAAGGTGAGATGGAACCAAACCCTTTTGTGGGAGGAACTTTATGTGGAAAATCTGGGAGGAAAGGAGAACCTGCTTTCCAGGGATGACTTGGTGCATGAAATGCAGATTTAGTGTGAAAAGGTGAACTTTTGTTAGGGAGCGATATAATTTCAGATACTTCACTAGTTTCTGGGCCTTTGCTATCTCTGTGTTCTCCTACAGGAACAAAAGCTGAGGGCCGTACAATGCTGTCCAAAAGAGGCTGCATGCTGATGGCGCTTTCTGTTGTAGTACTGGCAGGGGTTAAATCCTTCTGAATTGCAGGTTTTTGTCCTTGAATTGCTGTGGTTGTTGCCTGGTTTTGTAATTCAACATTTTCCTTGGCATCTTCTTTTGGAAAAGCGTATTGAGGCTTTGAATCGAGATTTGACAGTCCATTGGTGACAGACTTAGAAGAAGTTGCTTTGACCGCAGTCTCGAGCTGGTTGATCTGTTTGGGCTCCAAGGAGCTTGCCTTTGGACACTTGATAACGCGATCCTGCTCTGATACTAAAGTAATGGAGTTCTTGCAGAGGCCATACTTCATGTGGTTAAAAAGATGAGATTTCTCATTGCAAGTGAAGGGGCACTGAAAGCACTTATACTTAAATGGCTTTCCTGGTGGTCTTGGGATGTAATGAGGCTTCTTTGGTTTACGTTCTTTGAGGAGACTCATTTTTTTTGCTGCTTTAAACAATTAAATGTAATGGTTCTTTATAAAAACTTTCTTGTGGTTAGCTTTCCTCAGTTTTAGCCTCTTGATATTTCCAGTTTTTCAGGTTTCTGGAATCCTTCTTCCCAGGTGAAAAGAGGAAGCCAACTCCCGTGGTGTCTCAGGGAAGAGGGGGTGCCGGAAAACAACTTTTGTAATTGGTAGCACAGGAACTGTAATACAAAGGTTAAAATTAGGAGTACTGAAACTAAACACAAACTAAGACATCCTTTTAACTCTATTCCCCTTAATATTATATATAATATGTTTTGTGTTTTTTTTAAAACAAAACAAAAATGCTAGATGCCAGCCTTAAAATGGACATATATTAAAATTTAACATCCTTCAGCACCTAAACATACTTGTAGAAGTGTCCTAATTTTAAGCAGTGCTAGTCACTTGCAGCTGCTTTGGCCTTGAAGGAGTTTTCTTTGAAAACTGAAGGAACATTCATTCAGAAGATGAAAGGAAAAATCTAGGTGGAGCTGTTGAGAGAGAAGTGGAGGTGGGTAAAATGAGAAGAGGCAGGTCCTGGCAGCAGCTGGATATGGGGCAAGCCTGTCAGGCCGGTTGGGGAAAGAGAGGAGGGAATTTCCTGCTTGGTGAAACGAGGGTGGAGTGGATTGGTTGCACTTGGGTAGCTGACTTGGCTCTTTCAGACACTGACCAACTCCCCCCTCTTTTAACTGGCATGGCATTTCCTAACAGCTTAATCTCAGTGGATACCTCAAAAGTGGCCAATCTCTCGAAGGATAAAACCACACCAATTTTCTTCCTCTTCCTAATTCAATTAAGAGAAATGAGTCCTGCAATATCTGACTAATAGAATATTCTGCTTGATAAACACATTTCACATTCTTGTGCTGTGCAGCACCTTATGTATTGTGTGTGGTTAACACAGACACACAAGTGTATCAATTCACATAAAAAGTGGCAGACAGCAATTGATTTACAGGAGCATGATCTATCTGCCTTTCTTCAGAAAAAGTAAGGTTGTGGATACTTTATACAGCCTAATGATTTGCTCAGTAGATAAGTCAGGAGGGCTTGTATCAGCTTGTTCCATTATGTTCACTGATTCTGAAGGCGTGAGAAACTCTCAGAGTCAAGTTCTCATGATTTTATAGGATGTGTTATGGCAGAGATCTAAAAACTGATGATTTCATCATGAACTATAAGCATCATTATCAAAATGATGACTGTTGCAAAACCACGTACTGTATCTATTGTGTTACCCGAAACTGCAGGAATACTAATTGTAGGAGTGACTAGTACGGCTTGCTTTTTTAATTTTTTTTTAAAGCTTTCTACATAGAACTTTGACTTAGTACTATTAAAATATCAAGTTTATGAAAAGAATTGTTGGTGATTATGTGCTGTGAGATTTTAGTTAAAGTAGAGATGTTTTTGCATTTCTTAAATAAGAGATTGTTTACTAGAAAATAGCATGCAACACATTATGAAAACTGAAGGCAAAGCTACAGAACTGCTGCTTGTTGTACCAGGTATAGTAATTCTAGAAAATTGTAATACATATTTTTTTCTGATGTGAAAGAAGTATTAATTTGTTAAAATAATAATTGTGAAAACATTCTTAAAAAAAAATGCACACCTGCTCTATAAATAGGAAAAAAAAACTTTCTTAAAATTAACAAATAATTATGTGATAGTCTAAAGAAATAGAAATATTAATAGCTTTTTCTCAGTTTTTAATAAAGCTTTTTTTTGAGTTGGAGACTAATAATGTTACAATGTAAAAGAAAATCACTAGAAATATACAGCAGCATGTTAAAGCCTTGTCATTGGAGTCTGATTAAAATGGAGCTCAGTAAATTAAAAAAACAAACATAGTATTTGAAAACTGTTTTAAATAGTGATAACCAGCATTCTTGTGCAAGATTAACACTTTTACTTAAAAAAAATAATAAAATTTATATATATAAAATATTTGAGCTTAGGAGGCTTAGCTGGTCTTCTTTTTTTTTTTTTTCCCTTAAGTGAATTTGTTGTATTTATTTTTGACTAATGATGTATAACTAACTTGAACAGTTCGTAATGGACTTGATCAAGTCAGTTTGTACCTGTTGTTCCTCATATCTTCTTGAAAGTACTTGTACTAATTGTTCTTGAAGAAAAAGATATTGTTGTCAAAACTTCATTGCATTCTTAGTTTAGCCATTTATGATACAGTCTGAATTTGCATTCAGGTGCAGTATTTATAATAAGGAGATGTTAATTAGATTTTCTTGTTCTTCTAGCTTTCCTTTGCTTAATAGTGTAAATTCCTGTGTGTCCTGTTCCCCCCCCCCCTACCCTGACTTTGTACTTGGTATTTAACTTTGATTCAAGTTATTCCTGTTCAACAGAGTATTAACTATCATTTTTTAACAAGATAAAATGCATTGCTGCAGTTCTTATGTTAGAAATTTAGAGCATTGGCAGCTTTTTTGCAATGTGTATAGCAGGACAGAATTACAAACGCTTTTTTTTTAATTCATTGTTTCTTTTGATGGTATGCTCAGCTTGCAGACAGGGGTGCTTCCACTGCGTGCTGCTTACTTGCAAGGTGTCGAACGAGTAGCTTCTTTTAAAGGGTGTTTACCCTTTAGGAAACTTAGGCTAGTGTCAGACAGACAAATATTCTGTTTGTCTCTTTTACTGGTTAATCCCTTTTTTTCATATAGCTTAAAAATGCCAGTAGTAAAACATTTCTAAACCAAACCAAGAAGGACAATTTCTCTTCCCATTTCTAAGTAAAACACAGCAGTGTCTGGCAGAGGTACATGTTTCATAATTAAAAAAAATTAAAACTCTTTGATCGCACACATAAAACTGGAAAAAACAATAATGGTTTAAAATAGCTGCAACCAATTATGACTGCCTCTATTATAAATAATGCCAGTTGCTTACAGTGTATGTCTTGTGCTACTGAAATTAAAGTTTAGAATTAGCAAGAAAAATCAAAATAAGTAGCTGCTTTTCCCTTTAAACTTAAATACTAACTTGTAATATCCTTTTTAAAATGGGAATAAAAATCATCAGTAGTAGGATGATAATTTTAATGCAACATTTCATTTATTTTTTTTTAATTGAGAATTTACTTCCTGAATACCTGATTTTAGAAGTTTGGGTATTTACAGATTATCATGGATTTCTCTTTTTAGGTTTGAAGTGTAGTGGTATTTATTTATATTCTTACTGAAAATAAGTTGTTCTGATAATGTGGGTTAAATGTGAGGTTGTATTAGTTGCTTGTTCTGTGCCGATAGCATTCCTCCTTACAGCGTCCCAGCCTGGAGCCCTTTCCAGCCCGAGATTGAGAGCAGCATGTTTTCGTCCAGTTTTTAAAGTATGTTGTTGCTACCTCCTTGCTTATAAAAATGCTAACAAGTCCAGAAAGTAAGAATATTATTTAGCATTGAGTGCATGTATGTGTAAATACATAAACAAAAATGTTTTTGTGTATAAGTATATACATACAAATATACACCTGTGTATTCATACACACACATATATATGTACATACATATGCTTTTTTTTTTTTTAAGGTTTTTAAGTAGTCTAAATTGTTTAAGATGTCCAGTTGATCAAAGGGGAAATTTCCAAATGTCTTTTATTACAAGCAGAGCTGGTAATTATGTTTCTTTTTAGGACACTGCTTGAGCAAACTACGTAACAGTTTGTCATGCACACTCCATTATTACTGCAGTATCCTTTGGTGATGTTGATCTCTCTGACCAGGAGCACTCACTGGGGTGGAACATTTTGAAGGACATGCTATAATTAAAATATTGTGATGTGGCATTATTGCATAACTCAAGGACATGCCATTGTCACCTACCTAGAGTGTTGCAAGAACAAGATTTGTGAGTTTTATTCTAGCTGAGATTTTCCAGTGATTAACTACCACTCCCTTCTAAACTTCCAGTTCCTTTAAACTGAAAGATAAATTTTAACACAACTGTTTGTTAATTAGGAGGAAACATGGGCGAGAGGAGTGGGTTGGCGAGGACTGGGAAGGAAGTGTGTGCTGAAGGTCTGGACCGGAGGACTGCGTGCTCCCGTGTGTGTGCGAGTGCGCGAGAGGAAGTGCAGCGGCAGAGATAGCCAACTTGCTCAGGTGGTGGGGATAAGAAGAAAGAAGTCTCCATAAATATTAAGTTAATAACTCCACATCTTAATATACTTTAATTGGTTAGAGAAAGGATAACTTAAAACAACCCAATTTTCTTCTAGTAAATTTAGTCAATTCCCACAAGCTGGAAAACTAATAAATCAAAACTGAAACTGAAAATGTCATCTCCATACAAGCTTTTCAGATTAATGCAGTCCTACTATATTACGGAGAGTTGGCAGGCTAAATGTAGCAATTTCAAGCAGTCTGTCTTTTTGTCATTCTTCAGTATAATGCATTAACTCTCCCCATGGGAAAAGGTGCTTAAAACACTTTTCACCAACAAGTGTAAGTTACTGTAAAAACTTCTCAGAGCCAGTTTGTCTCACAGACTAAAATCTTTGCCTCTCCTGTTGAAACTTTCTGCTGAAAGCTTAAACCAGTGCAGTAAATGCACCTGCTAGGAGGAACCTAGGCTTCTGAGACAGCTGAAAAATGCACACCTCTGACTGCCTTTCTAATTGTTAATATAAACACATTTTATTTGAAAAAAATGTCTAAATAAAGGCACTTACCAGAAAGCGAGATGTCTGAAAGCTTCCAGGTGATCCCTGTTGCTAACCTGTAGCTGTCACTGCTGAGAGAGAAGTACCTGTTCGCTGCCCGATCGCTAAGTGAAACTGCAGGAGGTTGTTTCAGGGGGAGGGACTTAAGAAGTGTAGGAGTTGAGCCCTCAGGGTGTAGAGATGCACCTGATATTACTCCAGCCTGAAGCTACGATTCATTTGTTTGCGTCCACTGCTTTCATTCAGCATTACCTCAGCATCTAAGCTATCGAAGAGAGCTTTTGTCGCTTTTGTGCCCTCCAACAACCAAGTTTTACTCTAAACTTTTGTGTCTGTTCCTCTGAGCACTAATCTACAAAGTGGGGTCAAAAATGGCTAGGCAATATGCTGAGTTTTTAATACATTTACCTTCAGTAGAAATTACTTGTGAGCAGCAAAATCAACCGTACACAGGGGGTAGCAAAGCTTAAAAATAGTAATTACACATTCTTAGTAGAAACTGACAATTTTTATTAAATGCCTTTGTAGCTTTAATATTCTTGCTCTTTTTTTTTTTTTTTCCTCCCCCTCTCAATTTTTATTTAAATCTTTGTGTCCTTCATGAGTCTCCTCTCTGAAGGCGGGACTGAACTAACTCCAAGCTTGCCACAGGAACCTGCCAAAGCTTGCCTATAATCAGCAGTCAAATATACAGATCCTGTAAGTGGAAGGGAGTCACCTCGGTGAGAAATTGATTATCATGTCCATGCATTTGCTCAGGAGCAGTAAAACTGCACGGTGAAAGGAGGAAGTGTGACGATCATCCACTGATTAGGGCTGGTACTTGCTCGTAGTTGCATTTTACTGAGAGTTTACAAATAACAAACTTATTAGTGTATTTGCCAGTTACCTAGTGACAGTGCAGAGCTTGTTAATGAAATGTCCCGCGTGCTGGTCCTTCAAAAGGAAAATCTTTTGGTTCCATTCCTATTACTGAATATGAAACCTAAGAGTTTTTTGACTACTATTTCTGATGGCTTGGAGACATTAAATTTTTGAAACTTTTAAGTACGTAGGTATGATGAACTCTGTACTTGATATAGTTGTTTCAAAACTTGTCTGTAAAGCAATGCCCTAAAAATCATTTTAATGATGTGGCCTTTATCTTGATCAAATGACGTATGGACATCTCCTTTCCTGTCTAGGTGTGCAGATTACCATCCTTCCTGTTGCAATGCCAATGCAACTTGCTGGAAAAATTTTATGAATACAAGCAATTGCTAATTATAAGGTAGAAAGATGGGTCTTGGGGTGTTTGTTTGTTTCCTTTTTGTTTTAATATTTGCTTTCCTATGACACAGCTTAGCAGTGTAAAGAGATGTCATATTACTGTCTGGTTGTCAACCCTTAGTCTTTAGATGGAACAAAAGTATTTGCAGTGCATCGTTGTTCTTCTATTTAGTTTTGAAGAAAAGTAGAATATCAGGAAAATTTAATTGTACAGAAAGACCTTTTAGTGTCTGCATTTGGAAACTTCTCTGAGAATACCTGAGGGGAAAAGTCCTTTGCTTTCTTCATTGAAGATGTTATTAAGTAGTCATCATTTGCTAGTGAATAGCCTTTCTTTCAAGTCAGTACGTTTGTGTGACATATCAAACTACATGTCTGTCATTTTTCTTCTGCAAATGTGAATCTGTAGCTCGACGTAAGTACCATCTTTTTTTTTATCTTTTTTTTTCATACGATGGGGTGGAGGTTGGTTTCCTTGAATAGAATCAGATATTTTGTTTTGAAAGAAAATTGAAAATTCTAGCACCTGAAGGACTCGTGTAATATATAGGTGACTGAATTGGGTTAAGAGGCAATTGATACTTGAACTTTGATTTTTCCCCTCTGTTCCTATTCCCCTTCCCTGATCTGGTACACGAAGGGGAGATGGGATGTCTGGTTGCTGCCTTGGTCCAAGGACAATATGGAGCCTGCTTTAAATCCAGTTATTCTCTGGAAGTTGCTATTATTAGGCAGATCAGCTGAAATCAGTTGTGAACAAAGTAAAACTGGAAAAAACAAACAGATAATTTAAATGGTACTTTTCTTGGTGCTTGGATGTTATTAAAAATCCACATCTGTTGCTGATGGACACCAGAAGAGGAGCAGCTCCCTGTTGTGTATGCTTCTGGAAGTAATAAATCGTGATTACAGTGATGTGGTTTCATCACTTACTTTTGTTAACTCATTATGCTTGCATCGTGTGTATTTGGTAAACTGAAGCCAGTTGCCTGTTAGCAAACACCCTCCTTAGTTTACTTGAGCGCAACACTCAGTTGAGTTCAGTTGAGTACCAGGATGGACATAACATGTTTATTGATATTTTTTTCCTAAGTTGTTGGTTTTGTTTGTTTGTTTTCCAATTGTGTTTGTTTTTATATCTCTGAAGGTCTGAAGTTGTAGTTTTATAGCTTCTTTGTGTAGTTTAGTATATACTTGTTTAATCTAAATTTTATTTAAAATTCGGTCTCCTGGGCATTATCAAGGAAGTGTTGCATTGCAGTAGTTGAATTTCATATGTTTAGTTACTTAGCATGAAACTGCCCATTCTATAAATGTTACAAACTTGTTTCTTTATGTTTTTACATGATTTTTTTTTTCTGAGCTGTGGCATTAAACAGAAAACAAAGTGTCAATAGCAGAAACCATACACACAATTGGGATTAACTTAACCCATTCTTGATAAGCTGATTACCTAACTTTTTTGTTTTCAATACTTGAGAATTCCCTAGATGTATGAAAGAGTGTCCGGTGTTGCTCTGGTCAGTTATCAACCCCTCTGTTAATCAGATAATTCTTGGTTTCTGCTCTAAAGCAAAGAACAGCCCCAATTACTGAATTATTCTGCTGTTTTGACATTGCCTTGTATCAGCCAGAACTGGTACTGGCTTTCAGAGGATGTCATAGAATCATAGGATGGTTTGGTTTGGGTTGGATTGGAAGGGACCTTAAAGCTCATCTAATTCCAACCCCCTGCAATGGGCAGGGACACCTCCCACCAGGCTGGGTTGCCCAAAGCCCCATCCAGCCTGGCCTTGAACACTTCCAGGGATGGGGCAGGCACAGCTGCTTTAGGTAGCCTGGGCCAGTGCCTCACTGACCTCAAAGTAAATAATTTCCCCTTTATATCTAATCTAAACCTACCCTCTTTTAGTTTAAAGCCATTCCTCCTTGTCCCATATCACTACACTCCCTGACAGAGTCCCTTTCCAGCTTTCTTGTAGGCCCCCTTTAGGCCTGGAAAGGCCACTGGAAGGCTGCTCACTCTAGTTTCTTCCCAAAGCCTTGTCTTCTCCAGAGTGAACACCCCCAACTCCCTCACCCTGGCTCCACAGGAGAGGGGCTCTGGCCCCTTCATCATCTTTGTGGCCCTCCTTTGGGCTCATTCTAATGACTTCCATGTCCATTGGCTGTCAGTCATCAGCAAGATTTCTGTATCTCTCTAGAGATGCTTTATAAATGTATGTACTCGTTATTCCAAGAAAGAAGAACGATCAAAGATTAATGAGAATAAAGGCATTTAGCTGAGCACTGATAGACATGTAACTAGTGAAGCTTATCTCGCCTTATAAATGAAGTGCCGTAGAACTGTGTGCCTGGCAGTACTCACTTCTACATTTATCACCTTCATTTTGTGTCTAAATGGATGGCTTTGAGCTAAATGATCAAGAAAGCCCTTTCTCTTTGATTACTTGAACTGAAGTTATTGACAGATTTTGTTATCTGTATCAGCGTGTTTGAACTAAGTTGTTCTTAAATCCCAGAAGGGGGCAGATGTATTTGCATTGTAATTAGTGTAACTCATGCTGGGCCCCAAAACAGTTCGTGATTCTTGTACAATATTCTCATAACTATTTTCTTGTATCCCATATGAATAGTTATTAGTCCTAATGCTTTTCAAATAACAGCTTTGAAATGTGCCTTTGTTTTTCATAATGATTCCAGTCCCTGACTTGGGAGATATGTCTAGGCAGATTACCTTGCTGATGTTTGTGAGCCACTTGTTCTTGATTACTAGAGCAAATTATTTGTATGGGAAAAGAATGAAAGCTCAGCAGTTAATAGCAACAGCAGATCGTATTTTCAGATATTTATTGTGGCCTGTATTGTTAGTGCTTGGCCTGGAACTAGGATGATCTTCCTTCTTGTTCCCATCCTCCCCCTTGGGCACTGAAACATCTCGGGGGAAGTAGGTAACATCAGAAACTGAGACTGTAGGCAAAACTATGAACTGTTTATAAGAAGTGTTTTTAATAGTCATTCTTTTCATTATCAGCCCTTTTAACAGAGATGTAAAATATGCCTTTCTTGAGTTTCTACTAGATACTTTGGTTATAATTCTTTTTAAATTTATTATTCTTAAAGCGTTTCTCATGCAGAGTGGTTTTGCTTTGATTTAAGACTTATGCCAGAGATTCTGAGACAATTCTCTCACCTATGTGAAGCCAAGTTTTTCTCAAGGAACCCAGTAGTAGAATCTGAGTTGTACCACGGGCAGTTCCAGAATATATTAAATTGGTCCCACTTATTTTCTTTGAGACATTAGCAGCAGTGTGCTGCAGTGATGCCAGTCTCATGAAGAAGAGAACAATGAGGCATGCAGTCAATATTCCGAGACTTGAAAGATTTTTAGCTTTCAGTTATTCTCTGAAACATGTCAAATTTTATAAGGATGTACATGTATATGATTAATGTTTGTTGTCTACTACTTAAATTTTAAAAGTGAGGAATATAGAACAGAAGTGAAATCTGCTACTTTATTCTTTTTTTTTTTTTTTAACCCAGAGTTCTTGAACTGCAGTTTATCTGTTAAGTTCTTGAGTTTGAAGTTACGTGTTATCATTTAGCTGTAAAATCTCTGCTGTTTTAATGTGGGTCACCCAGCTGCATGTGCATGTAAAGAAAACATTCTTTTGAGCAAAATGGCAAAAAATTACCGAAAATTCTGCGGTATGATGATGTATTTGTGTGAATTTCTACATTTGGAATTGCAGCACTCTTAAATGAAATGTGTACAGGGTATGTGTAATGGCAAAAAACATATTTTAGTGTGGTTTCAGTATGATTTCACATCTTTTGTTTTGTGCTGTATTTGTGGTTTTGT